GGGTGTACACATTCTCGTTCTTTAGAACATAGATCTGGACTGTCTGCTTGGGCTTCCTGAATATTCTTCTTACAGATATAAAAAAAAATCCTTTATATATTATCTTGATATAAAAATCAAAGCAATTTGACAAAAGCTATAGGCCTAACAATAATATTAATCATCAGTTTTTCCTTGTTATGAGGGTGAATGCTTAGAAAACCACGACAATAGACGATAGTGAAAGTAAAAAATGTATACAACTTTATGGCACAACTAATCACCAATGAAACTGCTTATTTGTTTATCTTTAATATTATTAAGGCACCAGATACGAGATATTCCTGTTCACTGACATCAGTGATCTCCCCTCCCCATAGATCAATCCCCATAGAAGAATAGCCTAGTTGTCGGTCTTGGGAGCTACCCTGCTAAAAATAGACTTCCAAGAAAACGGAATTTCCACACTGGGCTTAGCTAGGCCAATGATATTATAGATCTCTTATATTAGTGTTTAGGCTACTCTTTTTTGGTTTCAGTTTCCATTCTTCAAGACCAGCAAAATGAAAAAAGGACTACAGCGACTAATGAGGAAGTAGATTTCTTCCTGCTGCATTTGGAAAAAATTGAATCTGACTTTGACTTGTCTTATTTTTATCTCGCACCTGGTGGCCTGGTTACCTGGTAATTTCAGAAGACAGTACAGAAGTTCTCTTTTTAGTCAAACGGCCCTTGATCACGGGTGTTTTCTAAGAAAAGTTTCATGTGCAGACTCGGCTGACTCGAGGTGGTCTAAATTCTAAGTTGTGTCGCCATTATTGTCCTCCTGAGAAAGGTTGGGCCAGGCTGATGTTTCTGAAACTCCTTAAATTTAGTCTTGTTTCATCCTAATTTTGGATATCCTATCAATGTAACTTCTAATTTGGAATGATAACTCTTTAAACTGGACAGACAAGCTACTAACTATCAATCATCATCAATGATGGAGAAGAAGGACACGAACGTGCATTCGACGGAAGGCTCGGTAGGTATCCCTAATTTTTATTGACTTCGAGATCCTTGTTTGTGACTTGTGGTTGTACTGACTGGATCTTCGTCACTTTCATGTCTGTGTGATATCATGTCGGCCCGATCTGTGTAGCTAACAAACTTCAACTTCAGTTAACGTTTGTAACTAGATCTATATAGATCTAACATTCTTGTGGTAAGATCTACCAGCTCCTTGCAAATCTTAATCAGTTAGCATTATAATTTAAGTCTCCAAATTAAATAGGCTCCTATCAATACTGTCGTCGAACTTATGGGTTCCGTAAGACAGCGGCGCTTTTTCGGTATAGTTCCCACTCCGCAATTGTTATTCGCTGGTTTTTGGCCCCAAGAGAAGCAGGGGTTTCAGGGGGACAAGCCCCTGACCTAATAAAAATATGGTGGGGGGATTCAGGGGGGCATGCCCCCCTGAATTTTACCATAATTTGATGTTTTGCAGTTGTTAGGTTTGATATCTTAGCTCGCCGCGGATCAAACGCATTAGATGTAGATCTAGGCTCAAATAAGGCAGGTGGGAACTAAGGAAAAAGCACCCAGACAGCCACCCATTGTCGAGGAGAAAAGTGGCCGCCTTAGACAGGTCGTGGGCCATCTCTGGCAGGACTGATCTAAATGAAGAAAACATCTTTCCCTTCAGAGGTTTCTCCGCTAAAGATCCCGCTTACGTTCCCGGTCGCTTAAGATCCTGCTGTTGCAGAAATTTTATTACACAAAAATTATCACCAGTAAGATCCCATCTGGTTCACTCTGGAGGTCTACATCCGGTTAAGATAATCCGCCTTTCAGATCATAATTTATAGAACAAAAAGCCGGGCGGGCACAGCCGATGAGTGAAAAGTTGAGATTGACATTGCACTGTCCGTCACGTCACAGATCAGCCAATCTTGTGAATGTGATCTCATGTGCATTGTAGAACTCTATGAAAAATGGTACAGTGTTTGCCCCAGACGAGATGAGAAGCCGTTCTGTGTCGGATGCAACACAGATTTTACCATTAGACACATCTTAACCGAATGTCTAGACTTTGGAGAGATCCGAAGGAAATACTATAAATGCAAGAAATTGCAAGACATTTTTTCCGTCGTTGTTCCCAGCAGAATTTTGAATTTTATAAAGGCTATTGGCCTTTATGGCAAATTGTAAAGTGAAATTGATACTATTTAAAATTTTTATGTTAACTAGAAAAATTGTTTTAGATCGAAAATTTATATATATCTACACTGATATTTTAAAACATTTTAACATTTTAAAGGCTAAAAGCTAACCAACCGTGCAGTGAACTGTTGCGAATGCAAACAACTAGTGTTTCGCGCGCTCATATGACCTTACGCAGTTGCGAGCGCCGTAAAACCCTATACTACTACTACTACCGAGACGGGATCACACGGAAGGGCAATTCTGGATAAACATATGGCTCCTTGCGACTCAAGATAGGATAAAGTGAAAATGGCATGCCTCATGCCATAATATGATTGTGATTGGTCATGAAGGTTGACCACTCATATGTCATAAACTCACCCAGGGGTCATGTCAGTTCAGTTTAGAGTGAAGGGAGACCATATGACGGGTTGTTAGCCTTAACATGGCTCACAGTTTATACCTTCCCTTGGTGCGTTGGCTAAGATCACGTTCGCCTAAGATCGTGCATTTTCCTTGCTCCCGAGCACCGTGATCTTAGGCAGAGACTACTACTGTATTATGGTTTTTCTTCTTTTGAAAAAGCATTGGGGGGAAGAATAAAGATAGTTTTTTATGCTACTTTATTTGTTGCAAGCTTTGTCCAGTTGTAAAACAAAACGTACAAAAATTATCAGACGAGGAAGCTAGCTAGACTGTCGAGTGACTGAGTGCCATGGTAAAAGAAACAAATTGGTCGCCACCACGAGCGACACTTTTGTCGCAAGTTTTTTGTTTGTTTTGTAAGTGTTCGCAACTGCATAAGTTCAAATGAGCGCGCAAGACACATTATAAACATTTTCAGTTGGTAGGAAATTTTGAATATTGCCCGGGTGGTGACTGAAGCCTACTCTTATTGAATTTGGACCACCAAGGGATCTTTAACATGCTCAACTTGCACATGGGAGCTCCGAGATTTTTCACCCTTGTCCGAGAAGGCAACGTGTAGATCTTTCACCATAAGATTAGAGGTGTGGCTGAAAGACAACAATAAGAAGAAGGAGCCAAGGAGTAGCAGTAGACTGCAGAAAGAGCCAGGAGCCAAGGAGGAGGCAAAGGTGAGAGGATGGGGGCAGAAAGTGGAGACGAAAGCAGACGACAGAACATTGCTAGAGAGCAGGAAAGGAGGATGAAAGGAAACAAATTTAGAGAAGAAAATTTTCCGTCGCTATCCGGATTTGAACCCGGGACCTATTGGATGAGAGGTGAACACTTTAACCTCCAGACCACGAGAGCCCCCCTGCATGAAACAGCTCAGTATGACCTGTTCGAAACCTCTGGGACTTCATCGTGAAGGATGTATTATTGTGCTGACTCGCAGGCACTACCTTTGTTGTTTCTTTTACTTGTACTGAATGCCGTTAAATTTCTGTCTGCCCCGCTCAATATCAGCTACGAGGCTCGAAAGACAAAAAAGTGACTTTTCATGAAATTTTTGTTTTTTGGATCTATTGAAAGTTTGATGTCTTCTGCTTCATTTAAGATAAAAATAAACAACTATAATCGACTATAAATATTTTATTTTGATTTATTTTGGAGGTGTGTGTGGTTTGTTGTGAGCTTGGGTGACGAGATAAAGGAATTTGGACCTTGCTAGTGTGTAGGTGTGAGATTATTTTTTGAACCATTACCTTATGGCCACCTTTGCTTTGACCAAATATCGTGTATAGTAGAGAATCTTTCCTTCAAAGTTTTTCATTCGCAGCTATTTTTAGATTTTGACCCCTTTTCGAGCATGAATGGTCAGAAATTTAAACAACTCTGATTTGTAAAACGGAGTAAAAACGGTCACTTTTGGCTCACCTCAAGCTTGTTTACGTTAACAGCTGACTGTGTGGGCGTGCCCTGCTAGCTGTTATCATCTGTTGATCTTTCAGTTTTACACTTGGATTGACTTTTAAAATCCGTTTTCATTGTGTTTTAGAGCTTTTAAAAGATTAATTAACCTTCCTCTAGATCTCTCAAAGCAGACTCCTTACCAAGAGGCCAGCGAGGCGGTCTATGTGCATATGTGTTGGTGTGTTTGTATGTGTGTGTGTGTGTTTATATGTGTGTGTGTGTTTGTGTGTGTGTGTGTGTATATGTGTGTGTGTGTATGTGTGCTCTTGTATGTTTATGGTGCTATTGCAAACGTATAATTAGGTAGTATAAACACGGCATGTAAGCAGACTGGCGGCCTTCCGAGCGCATGATTTCGGTGAAAAGGGGGCAATTCAGAGCTCTGTTCCTTCGCTCTTTTGCTATAAACACCAAATGCTGAACACTTTGAAAAACTTCAGGTTTTCTTCGTTACAATAGTGCAATGTTTGTTTATATCCGAGTATTTGGAGCTGGAGAATCGCCATGGAAAGGGAAGCCCTCGCGGTCGGAATGCGAGGTCGGCAGGTTCAATATTGAAACCCATGCATTCGAATGCTTTGCAGGAAGATTCATGTTTTAATACCGTCTTTTCATTTGCGGAGAGCTATACTGCTTTGAGCTTGGTTTCCCGTGGTTATTATTTTTGGCCTTTGGCGTTTTTGGATAGAAAATCTTGAAAAAAGTGTCTAAATTTTTAAAGATCATTTTTAACACGAAGTGTGTAAAATACTGGCAAAAAAAATTCAATAGAAAGAACGATTCTTTTTCTATTAGAATAAAGTCGTTGGCTTGGAATTATTTTGCTTGAATCCTTCCGCGAAATTCCGGGGAGTACTCAGTATACTACAGTATAGCCGACTCGTCTGCCGCGGAGACTGATGCGGCGCCGGCCGAGACAACGTTCGGTGTTTTTATTGAAATAACGACAGATCATCGTGTTTGAGGCAATAGAAAACTGATTTGTAATGCTCTCACAGTCTTTAAAAAAAAAAAAGGCTTCATTTCTTTGTTATTCTGATTGTACTCTGTTAATGTAGAGATGTTTGGTGCACTTGGTACTCATTTATTATCTGTTAATCATGGGGTTGCAGCCAGTTAGCGACTTCAGCAATATTTGATTATTATGTTAAATTGAAACAGCTGCCATTCTCTAAAACGTTGACTGAGAGTTATAAAAGTATGGTATCAAAATTCTCAGGAGGCATAGGCCTTTCATATGAAACAGACGAATTTGACATACAGCTACTTTGAAAAATTAGTATCTGGTATCTAGCATAACGCTAATATTTTGTTGTATTTGACGTGAAGTCCATTCTCGTGAAAATTTTGTTTTGTCCATAAGTTTTTTCTCTGTATATGAATAGTTTTCTACTTCCGTATATTACCTTGTAGTGGCATAGACAAGATAACTGCTAAATTTCAAGTCTCTATCTCAATTCTAAGACCCCTGTTGCTATGGAAACATGTTGATCAACTTCAGAGGCCATATTCTCCTTTTCGTGTTTCCTCACCTCACACAATTAAAAGTTCTGTATTTTCGTCAAATATGGTAATATTTACTTCATTCTTATTTTAATTGTAGGGAAAAGGTGATAGTTTTTGAAAATAACGTTAACTCAGTTTTGAAATTTTCTTCATATGACTGATATTGACCGGCAGGGACACATTTGAGTTTTGTGGGCGGTTGGCGGGTGCTCTGGTGTGGTTTACTCCTTCTTTCCTTCAAATGTCTGTCGTCCTTTTCTCCCCTTCTTCTTTTTTATGTTTGTTACTCTCTCGTAAAACCTCAAATCTTCTGGCGCTCATATGACCTTGCAGTTGCGAGCGCCGTAAAACCTCTACTAAAACAAATAAAACAAAATTTGAGTTTTTTGTTGCTATACTGTAATGTATTTTCGCATTATCTAAATTTTTTGCAGATGGCCATTAGGGCAGGTTTGACTGTACATTAGGACAACCACAAAGTTCTCTTTTTCTTCTTTGCATTCCCTGCTAGATCTCAGTTAGTTGACTGCTGGTTCTTCTCTGATTATAGTGTAATTTTTTGGATGCAAAACAAGACCCTTGCTTTAGAAGTCCTGTGAAAATCACTCTAGGAAGTCTTTGAAGAGCTTTTCTTGCAACTGCTTCAATTTTTTTTTTTACAAAATCTGTAAAAGATCAAATGAAGTTGTCCAGTTTAATGATGCCAATAATCAACATCTATTGTTTGCTGATCTTATTCTTCTTTGCATGCCCTGCTAGATCTCAGTGGTAGTTGACTGCTGGTTTTTCTCTGATTATAGTGATAGTTTTTTGGATGCAAAACAAGACCCTTGCTTTAAAAGTCCCGTGAAAATCACTCTTTGAAGTCTTTGAAGAGCTTTTCTGTTTCTTGCTACTGCTTCAATTTCTCTTTTACAAAATCTTATAAAAGATAAAATGAAGTTATCTAGTTCAATGGTGCTAATAATCAACAACTATTGTTTCCCGATCTTAGTTCAAAATGATTTCAAATTACGCTGTTGCTCAAATGCAATTGTTCTGGGTTTTTACACAGTGCATCTGAGAGAATTGAGCATCTTTGAGGCTAGGCAGTTGATGCTATTTAACAGAGGTCAACATTAAGGCCCTCCTATATAGCAAACCCCATTATACTCTCAGCTTCCTTCTCATCCCAAGGTTGACGGTATAACCTGATTTGACTGAACTGAGGAATATATATCTTTAACTAATTAATTAATTTTTTTTTTGAGGGGAAGGGGAGAAGACAAAAGTATGGTTAATTATTATTTTGGTTTAGATTTAATTTATTTCATTGAATTAAAAAAATGGGCTGAATTTTGGAACTTTTCATAAAAATTCTTACTAATCTACCATCAATTCAAAAGAGTCTGTAGACGCAGAGATTAGGTTGAACAAATTGTCTGATTCTATTCTTATTAGTTGATAAGCTCCTGTGTCACCCTCTGTGCAAACAGGCCAAAACTGCAAAGGGAGATCATCTCAGTGGCCATTGAGAAAATAAAGTTGTCATGCTCCGCATTATAGGGGCTAAGGACCAGAGAACCAACTTGCACTCTTAGGGTTTTCCTTAGTGGCATTTAAAATGTTCTGTTCTCTGTTTTTGTATCTAAAGGGGCATCTTAAGTTTAGTTCGTCAAGAATTTGTCTTTTCCTCCCCATTTTTAAAAACGAAACGAGAACAACATCTTTCCTACCAGCTTTTAGAGTAATCTTACAGACAGGTCTTTAGAAAATGCAAGAAGGGAACAAGTGGAAGTTTTTAGTCTGTATTGTAATCATAGTATTTGAATACTGCTGTTACAGCCTGAAATGCCACAAGATGTAAAACATTCACCCAGTGGGCACCAAGGCGGAAGTTTGCCAGCTTCAGAAGAGTATGATCCAGACTTCATCTCCTTCATGGTGAAACTCAAATTGAAAACTGTCTGTCCTTTGCAAATGCAAATGGATGCAGATAGAATTGTTTTCTTGAAGGGTAAAGCTCAGAGGCAGACTGATATGCATAATGCTTTGCGGGATGCTGAGAAGAAGGTTAGTGTTATTCGTAATGAAAAGTGAGCTCGTCTTTAACAAAGTATATGAAAAATGGAACTCCAATTCTACTTAAATCTTTGTTATTTAAACAAGTATGTTAATCTTGTATTTTTTTGTTGTTGCGTTCTTCACATTTTTGCTTCTTTCACGGCTTCACTTTTCTCTCGATTCTGTGACTTTTAGTTAGCGTGACTCAGCAGCCCGCCGAAACTCCCCAGCATCAGGGTCTCAGGTTTAATGAGCCCTGAAGCGACTTTGCTGGTTTCGGTTAAGAAGTTAGCATTTTTGTCTACATTTGAAATGATATAACTTCTTCCCCATCCCACACAGCAAATCATTACAGTGATGTATTAAAAGCTCAATGTTTTGAGATTTATTCTGCGTTAGAATGGTTAATTTTTGTGCATTAGTTTTTGTTCTAGACAAATGTTTATAGAGTGCCCAATATGTCCCATTTAGTTATATACTTATGAATAAATGATTGTTTATTTAAAAACAGCACGACAGATCTCTCCTAAATCTGTGTTATCAAGCTGACTACATATATCATAATCATGTCTTTTACCATGAGGAATCTTAAATCTGCGCGGGTAGTAATAGTCAAGTTATAAGAGAAGAAAGATGCACTTTTGCATTTTTTGACAAAATACTCTCAGCGTTGGCTCTTATTTTACTATTAAACAAGAGAAAGGCACTCTAAATTTGTTCATGAATCATGCTGTGTCTGTGGCAGCTTGCATACTAATAAGAAAGATATATTTTGCGATTTTAAAAAACTACAAAAACTTTGTAAATGCATGGGAGATAAACTTCTTGCATGGAATAAAAACAATGAAAGCTAACACATTTATTCTTAATTTTGTGTCGGAAATATATGCACAGACACTTAAGAATGTAAAGAAATCAGATTAACGCTGTCAGTTATTACAAATGGTCTAGAAACGAAATTAAAAGCTGGAAAAGTCTAGTGCTGATTCAGTGCCACTGGAAAGCTAGAAATTATTCTGGAAACCCAGTTACGATAAGTCATCCCTTTTATTCAGTCGACTTAGAAAACCTAATCCTAGCGTTGTAAGAATAGTTAGAATTTAAGGAGTGTAACAGATAGGCTACTGCTCGTGTATTGCACTGTAGATGTATTCTGGCTCTAAAATCGATTTGTACTTCTTCATAGATAGAGACACTACAGGGTAATTTCTATAAACTTCCGAGAAAACATGGGAATATTCACGATTGTATTAGATACATAAAGTTGTATGTGGAGGAATAATTAATTCTAAGCGAATTTTGTGCCAGATGGATAAAGTTGTAAAATTACATCTTTCTATTATATGCGCTGATACCATCTTTTCTGAGTATCTCCTTCAATGTTTTGTTGTTCATGTTCCAAAAGTTTAACAGTTTTTGTCATGCCGTTTCTTTTAATATTGATTTTTTTCATTCACTCTTGTCTGAAAAATTTTACAATATAGCTTTGCTGACTTCAGCGCGTCTAATGAAATATCTAGACAAGTTACAATGTCCGTTCCTTTTTGAGTCTCAAGAGCAGAAATGCATAATTACCATGAATACAAGGATGCACCTAAAATTTTAAATTGAAAAGTACGAAAAGCTAAGTCAGCCCAGACAGGGCGGCGACAGGGAGCTGAACCCTGTGACCCTGACGTGATAAGGCATTCGGCAGGGAACCCCTCACTGCAACAAATTCCGTTGCTGGTGCCCGTGCTTTGTGTAGCAAAGATTATGTGTTTAGGAATGCAACTATCTGCATGTTTGTCTGCAAGAATTTTAAGATGAGCAATCAATGTTCAGATAAGAACATCCAATCCCAGCAGAAAGACCGAGATACTTGATAAAAATGTTCTGCCCTCTTGGGAATTGAATTCGTGTCTCTTGCATTTGACTGCGGAGCACCTAACTGCTACACCATAGGCACTGGTTATGGAAGAGTGAACACACACACAAAAATTTGGGGTAAGGGGGGAAGAAAGGGGGAGGAGAGAGAAAAATAACATTATACCGATGATTTCTTATTTGTAAAATCGTATTCAAGCATGTTACTTTGTATGGACCAAATGCAATAACAAAATAATGAGAGAAATCCAGCTTTTTAAGGGTACCAACCTGAACCTTGCCATTAGTGTTCTCTGAAGAGCCACTTTCATTGTTAGTTAAGTCAACAGTTAGAATTGACTCCTGTTAGTGCTGTTGTAACATTTCTAGAATTTTAGCTCTTTTCCTACATAATTTTTTTCAGTGAACACTTAGTCAGAACGTAGTTGTCAATAAACAAATAACCCAAAAACAAATTAAAGAGATTGCCCTAATATTCTTCTTCCATTAAAGAAAGGGGTACTATGGATGGAGAGAATTGGAAGTGAGGTGTAAGAGTCTCATGCTCTTGGTGCAAGACTCAAATTGACTTTTTTGATGTGATTGATAATCCAGATGAAGAACTAATTTAGACTTTAAAATCTAGGTTAGATCTTCCATTCATTGCCTACACAGCTTCTGCTCTGTGGAGAGTGCACCGAACTCTTTCATGTCATTTTATTTGTTCTTCAGAGGAAAACTTTTGTGACTCTGAATGACTACAGTTCGAGGCATCTTTTGTTTCATCGATTACTTACATATGATGCTGATGTTATATTTTTTTCAAAAAGCATACGGTCACAGTACAATTTATCCAATATTTCCCAAACCTATATATTTAAAAAAAAGAAAATTGGACCAGCAGCCTTTTTTCCGACACTAAAATACTCAGCCAGTAATTAAACATTTTTTTTTGTGTGTGCGAATTTTCTATCTTTTGTTTTGTCAGTTGAGTTGAGTAACAATTCTGCATTGTGCAGTGCTTAGCGCCTTCCCTTACGGAATAATGCATAAATAGTCATTATTATTATTATTGTTATTATTTATTATTTGGTTTATTATTATCATTATTTTTTAAAAAATATTATCATCATCATTATTATTATTATTATTATTATTATTATTATTATTATTGTCATTATTATTAATATTATTTTTACTATTATTACTATTGTTTTTGTTATAATAATTATTATTCTTTCCGACTTTGGTTCTGTTTTCTTTTCATAGCTCTTAGAATAGCATACTTTCACTTTCACCAAAACTGAAATTGCTAGGACTAAAGTTACCTCAACTTCTTGGCCTCTAATGATTACAGTAAAAAATCAAGTAAACTATCTATTCTTTATATCAATATCATCATGCACTTGTGCTTTATGAAAGAAGGTAAACTTACATGGTCTTTGAAAAGTTGGCAAGAAAATAGGTGATAAAATTTGGATAACCCACATTGATTTATATACTTCAACCAGTTTTGTAGTCACTACAATAACTGAATTATTGTGATAAATGAAAATTTAATTTCTAATGGCCCACAAATGAATTGTGCACTTTGTAGCAAACAAGCACACAGTTTTTGTCAAATTTCAATCAAAACTTTTAGTGCATGCCAAAGTCTTTTGTGTCAATTTTGATAAATTACCTGGTACCTTTCTCAGGTACTTGACTGCAGGGATTTTCTGAGCAGTCTTACGCGGGATAAAGTTGGGACAGATACGCTGAGGATGGAAGAGGATAACGTTTCAACTAAGTTTGTGGTTACCATGGACGAGGTAATGTCATACATAATTGGTTGTTGTTACTGTTGTTGGCGATGGAGCAGTTCTTTTTGCTGATGAAGTTGTTAATGTTTGGATTGTTGTTTTTAGTGATGATTGTGCTATCATTGTCTCACTCGGTCCAATAAGCCTTTGTTTTTTTTGCTGTTTAGTGAAATGCTGTGTTATAAAAGGTGTCCTTTTGCATTGCTATAAAAAAATTCCTGTACTTTGTATAAACCTTCTTTTGTTCTTAATGGGACTACATTGAAGAGTGTTTCATTCTATGCATAATTTACGTTTGTCTAGGCTTCTTGCTTTAATTTGATCAATAAGTTTAATTAATTGTGTTTTATTTAAAAGGTGAAGCTTTGAACTCTTTTTACGTTTTGCTCTGCGCCAGCTCTCAGTTCTCAAACAATTTATACCAAAGAAAAAGAATTCACCATTATTGCAAGCCATTTGGGCATCACCACTAGCGATATCAGCTTTGTGCATCTTTACGTTTTACCTCCAGAGAGGTATCTGAGGTATTCTAAGATGTCCAAAACCACCCAACTCTGCCAGAGATATTGGACAAATGTGAGAAAAACTTCAGATGAAGAGGGGTGACTTTGGATAGTGTGTTTCATGTATCAAATTTTTTTTTTGAGAGGCAAAACTTTGACATAGCAGACATCTATACACCTACCTTTTGTCTGATGTGTGAAAGTGTATTTCACACTCACTGGAAATCGTAGAAAACAGTATTCCAACCCTATCTATAAACCAGTATGCTTTTATGCACATGTTATTTGTTTACTTGAAATCTCTCCTTATCATTGTAAAACACCCGCCCCCGGGGCAGTGCTACCGCCTGAAGTGTCTTTAGGCCATTCCCAAAGGGAGACATTAACATGGTCTTATGCTCAGCAGAATTGCAAATGAACTGCAACAGGGAACTGCAGCTTTTTCTTTCCTAATCCTTACCATCGTTATTTTTCCTCTACTTCTGTTGTATGTTTGTACTCTCTTGACCCGCTATTTCTAGGGTGCCTTGACAGTCGAAGCAGATGTTGTGCTGTTGAAGCTAGAGAGGTGAGCATAGTAAGCCTGATTCCCTGTATGGACTTGTCTGTTGACATCCTCCCCTTGGCGCTCGTATGACCTTATGCATTTGCGATCGCCGGAAAAATTCTACTAAAACTAAACTAAACATTGTAAAACAAAGCTCAGTGATACCTGTAATAAGCAGCTAGTTTTTACAGTGATAAAAGAGATAAAAAGAGTTCTTTGCCATGTTAGTTTCTGAGTCTGTCAACGTCTGGATTGGGTGAGAGCACAGCATTCATGAAAGTGCTCCATTTGCTAAGCTCTTATCTCTTTTTCTTTCTGAGGGATGAACTCGGGTTCTAATCCAGGTATGGTTTTTCTTGAACATGGGCTGTTTGATGAGTTTTCATGGCTCCCCATTATGTCCTAACGGAAAGGGGCAGAAAATTGGAGATCCACCATCTCAAATGACCTGACAGTTATATAGTGTTATGGATGGGGGGGGGGTATACCACAACCAACTCAAGAAAGGTGCAGGAAACAAAGTTGGCTGATTAGAAAATGCTGCTCAGAATTTTTTTTTCAAAATTAGCTTCAAATATGTTGCTCTTTGTTTAATCTTTTGGAAATGAAATTCAAATGCACTGGAGACTTCAATTAGAATAGAAACAGTAACGGATGTCAAGGATTTCCATTTTAAAGGCAAACTTGTAGGAGCTGTTTGACCTTTTTGTTTAACCTTGAGTTGGAGGAGGAAGAACTGCTCTCATTTTACAATGGCCAAATCTTCCACAGGTGGATTGATGAAAGCACTGGCAATCTTATTAGATTTACGATTGACTTAGGTAAGAAACTTAAAGTCACCCTCTTCATCGTTCTCTGACACCATTTTCACGACGAAGTGGACACCGTTCTCAGTGATCCAAAGTTCAATGACAACAAAGTTACATTCTTTAGGTTCTACGGGAAAGGTGCCACTTTCAATCCAGAGTCCAGAAAGCCAGTCTTTTCCGGTAGATTTTGTTCATATGCCAGATTTCTGACATGGTCACATTGTTCATCAAGACAAAGGACATATAGCATATTATTATGAGAAACATCAGGTTTGAAGAACACCCTTCTACATTTTGTCTAAGACTCTGAGAGTTTCTTCCCCAGAGGATCATCAAGAGGGGGGGGGCTTATGAAACCTGGTACTTGTCAAAATCATGAAATCGAAAAAACTGACATTTTTCAGCCCATTGTTTATTTTTATCTTTGTTTTTTTTTTTTTTTGCTCAACACCTTTTATGCCCTTCTGAAAACACATTTATGTGTGTATTTTGCTGAAAAACTTCAATCAAAGGCACGGAAATGGTAAATTTGCTATTTTCAAGGACACTCAAGCTTTGGAAGTCATTTAACTTTGGCACCATTTTCTGGCTAAGTTTACTTTTGACCCCAGGGGACACCCATCTCCTTCAATCACAAATATCTCGGCCTTGATTCAAGATAGATGGTTATTATTTTTTCGTCAAATGTCAAAAGCAAGATAAATGAATCAATAACTCCATATGCCCAAAAATTGAGGAGTGCCTTATTCCACCATGTCTTGACACATTAAAAAAAGGTTAATTCTTACTTGTGGTTTACTAGATTCAACAGCACATTCTGTTATCTTCAGACTTTTTTTTCACAACTGAAATTTCAGACAGTCCAGTATACCTATACATCTAATATGTTTTGCTATTTTATATCTTGTATTGTTTGACAGCTGAGAGACTGACATGTGCGGGTGGTTGGCGGGTGCTCTGGTGTGGTTTGCTCCTTCTTTCCTATCAAACATCTATCATCCTTATCTCCTTCTTTTTTGTGTTTGTTACTCTCTTGTAACACTTCTAATCTTCGACACTTTTTTGACTTTATTGTGTTGCAAGTGCCGTAAAACTCTTACTAAAACTAAAGACTGACTTGTTGTTTTAGGGTTATCTTTGTAGACAAAGCAGCTTCCATCAGTGCCAGGAGACAATAGCCTTGCACCATGTATAGTGTCTTGAACTTCATCAACTGGCTGGTCAGGCAGTGGCAATCTCTCCAATTCTAAGCACGGGCCTTTTGTCACGACTTCAGTGTTTCTTGAGGCTTTACTCTGTGGCAATTTTCCTTTGACTGCTGGACAAGTGTTTCCTCAAACCTATAAAAGTCCTTCAGAATGTCTGTCTGTGGGATCTGATGTTTTAGGAAGCTACCATAGTCTCAGATGTATGGATGGCCTCCATACATGTTTTGTTATATATGTGTAAGATGTCTTTGTGCTGTAGTTGTGGCTTGCCTGTAGAAAGCTTCCCCTGAGTCAATTCCTGAAAGAGGTCCTTGCGTACAGTGCAGCTATCATCAGGTGCACCGTTTGGTAGAATTATGCCTGACATTGTTAGCTTAATACTGAGACTGGGAAAGATGCATTACATATGAACAATGTTTTTGCACTCAGTCCTGGACTTGTACTAGTGCAGGAATATGTTCACAAAACAGACTCTGTAATTCTTGGTATTGGTTTATTTTGTCAGTGTTGTTTTGGTAGCATGCACGAGGTGGTAGCCATCTTTTTATTGTTTTTCTCTTCTCAATGTAGAGTAATAGAGATGGAAGGGGTGGAAGGAAAAGAGAAGAAAGAGAATGAGAGAGAGAAAGTGATGCTTCCGAATTTGAAGCATGAACATTTTCCAGCTGGTAGTCAGGGATTTAAATGTTAGATGGGGAGTCATCATGCTATCCCATGAACATTTTGTATTCAGACACAATGAGTCTGAAGTCAACTGGTCAAGGGCTGATAAGGAGTTGCATGTCTTCAATGAAGTGAGTTCTGGCAGCTTTTTCTTCTCCAAAACTGAAGCTAACTGGACTCTTGTCTTTGTTCTACTTTATGAGACAGTACCAATTGACATGGTTCTGAGACCAATCCTGATCAAAAAAGATTTATAGCGAAGCAACAAAGATTACTCCCAAAGTGGGTAGAGTGCGTAACCTCTCACTCGTACTTCACTCTGCTGAGACTTTTTTGCTGAAATGTTATAGAACGTGAGGCTGTAGTTTCTTTTCTGAAAGAATTTTATGGTACTGAGAAGCTTTAAAGTCTTGTCGAACAATTGCATTGCCAATTGCTCCCCCAATGGTTATTTTATTTGTATGGGGGAGGGTGTATTTTGTCATGTAAGGCATTAGAAGAGGCTTAGTAAGGTCAATGACCTGCCCATTCCCCACTACTTTTGCATCTAAGATGAACCAGCAATATGCAAATGTTGCCAAGTTCTAGGAGACAGGATACACATAGATTTATAGTGAGAAAAGAGATAAGGTTGGGAAAGGAGAAAGTGACAAGGAATGTAGTTTTAGGATTCATACTCTACAAGAAAGGTAAAGATTGATCCGAATTTCTTCAGCTCTAAATCATAAAACAGGAATGATTAAGAAAAACAAAAAGCTAACAGCTTGAAAAAGATATGGATACACTGCTCAGATTATTGGGGACAATTTTCAGGACTCTAGATTTTGAAATAGTGCTTTGAGGAAAGAGGAAACCTGTTAATAAGCCATGTATGTTTTTGGTCAAGGGCCATAAGAACAGGGGCTGCTAACCCCCAGGCTTTGAGCACCCTCTGTTGTATTATCATGAGGGTTGTCATAGTCTGTGCATACATGTAGGACTTTGGAAGTGTCTGGAAAAAATAACTGTAGGTGAAAAACTTTAGAGCTTTGCTTAATGATGACAAATCTGTACACATCTCCATTTTTCAGAAAACCTATGACCTTCACGAGTACATACGGGAAAAATATTCTGCACCTGCAAAAACAAATGTGAAAGGGAAAGATTTGAGGGTTCAACTGGAACAGGAATCTACTGAAGGACTGGATGAGACAGCAGATAGCCCTGATTATTGGAAGCAAGAGGACATTGAAAGGAGAAAATATGATCAGCCTTCAGAAGCGGCACATTCCTTTTTGGAAAATGCAAGAACTTCTGAAACTGAATACTATGAGTTTGTTTATATTCCTCCAGAAAAACTTGTTTATGTCGAAAAGTTTATACCCAAGCTTCTGAGAAATAATGACGCTGAGTGCAAGATTTCTGATGAAGGAATTGAACTTAAAAGCAGATCAAGAAAGAGTGTAAAGATTGGATACGACCTTGTTCAAGAGAGAATGAAAGAAGTTGAAGAAGAATGTATCCCATTTTACAAGCCTGAAAAATTGTCAACAGACAAAGGTAGCAAAATTTGGGATGAAATATCAAACCTATACAATTGCATCATAGTTCCGGTGGCTACAGCACAACCTGTGCGGCAAACAAAGAAGCAGTATGTACCAGTCATTCACCACTTTCAGTTGCAGCGTTCTGCTCTCCACTTGTTCATACTGGAGGGACACATTGACAACATCTGTCTGCAAAGGACAATTCATGTCATTCCTGGCAAAACAGGTATATTTTTCCTCAGCTCATTTTTTTTTAACATTTGGACAGAAATTAAGATTGAACAATCTTGTTAGAAGAGTCAAACTGTAGCTTACTGAGATCAATATTATCTTTAATTTTTTACCGTCCATTTTGTCGTTGTTTGTTGGCACTTCTGATTTATTATTTAATAAGCCTTATTGTTTTATATGTTTAGGATCATTATGTCCCACTTTGTTGCATACAGTCAAACCTGTGTAAGATGGCCGCCCATTGGAGAAAAGTGGCCGTATAAGACAGGTGGCCGTCTTAAGCAGGACTGCTCAAGATGAAGAAAACAAACTATTTCCATCTGAGGTCCCAATCGAAAGTAGCCACATTGTTGTTTTTGTTGTTGTTGTTGGTTTGTATTTTGTTTGTAATTTTTATTTTGTTGCTGATTTTGCACAAGGGTGACAATAAAACGAAATGTATCAGACGAGGAAGACCGAGTGCCATGTTAAAACAAACACATGGGTCGCCACCACTCTGAGAATGAGCGACGCTTCTGTCACAAATTCATGTTGACGTCCTTTGTAACTTTGTTACAAACAGGGTAAACAGTGACCACTCATCTCACTTACGATTTGAGCATGAGTTCTGGGCGGGGCTTATGGGTTATGAGGGATCACTCGCTTACCTCACCAGCAGCTGAAAATTGGTAGCTATTGGTCAACAGCGGGAGGGGCCTACGCAACATGATCGGTTTGAAAGACTACCTAACAACAACAACAGGTGATTGAATTATGACGGATCGCCCACAACGCCAGGGGCCTATGCATAATTTATGACAAAACGTAATGGAGTCACTAAGGTGGCGGTCTAAAACCGGTGTTATTGCTTAGTGTGATAGGGGCTGTGTTGTAAAATATGATGGCCGCGGCCGCGTTGGACAGGTGCCCGTTTTACACAGTAAAATTATATAGAAAAAACGCAAGGGGGGAAATGGAAAGTGGCCGTTTGTACAGGTGGCCGTCTTATGGAGGTGGCCGTTAGGGCAGGTTTGAATGTACATGTCTTTTGCCTTTTTAAAGTTTCTTTCATGTATGGATTGTTGTCAAATCAGAGGGAACATTTTATTTACAGAATTCTCTATTGGTTAAACATGTATTGTAAATATCAGATAAAGGCTGTCAGTGTTTGATATCACATGAAGATAGTCCGAAAAAAAAATCAGAAGAAATGTATATATTTGGGAATACAAGCAAAGTGATGGCCAGGCAAAACTTCTAAGAGTGAATGGACAAAAATATTTTACTTTCTGCACTGAATGACATTCTTTGTGCATTGTCTGAAATCAGCACACTGAACTCTGTCCATATGCATATTAGTTGTCTTCTCATCGGTGTAGTGTCTATAGTTAAGATAAGTTTTTGAGAGACTGGAAGGGTTGGCAGGAAGTATTCTCCCGCCCCCTTGTGAAAATAGATTGTAGGCTTGAATTGAGGCTATGGATTTTGTTGTGAATTGTAACAGGGGACAGATGGCAGAATCACTCTTGTGTCTAGGTCCTTATTTCTTTACTGTTTACTATAAGAATGCTTTAGTGATCTGCTGTGGTTTTTTTATAGGCATTGATTTGGGCCGTTCATTTGGTAAGGGTTTTGTCGTAGAGCTAAAATGATGTTAAAGGGTTGAATCACCACTTGAATCCAGGAGTACTGACAAGAGAAAAGTGAGGTTACGGAGAAGGGGAAGGGGATGTTGTTTATCTTTGGCTGTTGATGATTGACAGTTTGAATGAGAGAAAAAAAGGAGACAGACTGTCATTCTACTATATGGGGATAATGGTGCTCAATAGATTTTTCACACTGTTGCACAAATTGTAGTTGTCTCTTTTCCTGTCTGACTGAAAATTTTCAAGAACTCAAAATGTATTGTATACTTTTTGATTTGAAAGGAATTATAGATAGAAAGGAACATGGGTTAATGTGATTTAGTCAAATGTCAAGTATATTTGCCTGGTACATTTGGCCAGCACTTGACCCTGCTAAATTTCTTAATGGGTGTGTATTTGACAGATGCCATCGTGAGGAGGTCGGAGGAGGAGAAGAAAATTGAGATCAGCATGACCCGTGATGTGGCAGTGAGTGAGATGCACCACATCATGAAGGATGCACTTTCTTGGGCATCACTGAACTCTAGTGAAATTGGCCTTGTCGTTGATGATGCTCCTTGTCCATTGCATCTAATTGCTGAAGTTTTTGTCTCCTGCTGCAAGGCAATCAAGAAATCTGTCAACGTATACTTGGTAGGGCCCAAAAGGGAGGCTGTCGTCCGTGCTTTTAAATTCACCTGCAATGAGCAAGATTGGAAAGAAGTCGTGAACAGTGCAAAGAAAGAGGAGTTGGAGTTGGAGTGCAAAGGTAAGGATCAGTCAAATGGAAAACATAATGTACTGCGATGCTACAGTATTGCATCAGAATGTATTTTGCTTCTGATCAGAACGTAGTACAGACCACCATATTTTCCAATTTGCTTCACTTTGAGTACTCTACATAGATCTAGTAGTACCTGTAATAGCCTTACTGAACACCATGTGCCTTTTGTCACATTGAGGGAACACACTTCTAAAAAGAGTGGATGCATTATGGTAGGGAAAATAAAGTATTTTTGACAACTTTACAGAGATTTGAAAGTGCTAGAGAAGTTGCTGGAAATCATGCCTGGGTATTCCTCTTGGGAGGATGTTTTTCCTTGTGGTTTGCACTCAAGTTCTTTTGCTGTTATGTTGTCAGAAAGTGATATACTGGAACTTGATGATATTTTACACCTCTTTTTTCATTGAAATTGCCAGACTTCTAACGTACAATACTAATGCCCTGTTGGAAATATATCTTCAGTGTTAGAGTCAGAGTCCATACTTGCAAATAGCCACTGTTTTTCTATCAATGTCTTCGCTGTGAAGGAAATGATGTTGAAGTACCTCAGTTATTTTGGACAGAACTTTGTCAGCCAATAGGATCATGCCAACAATGTAATTAGATACCAGTCTAAATGTTGTTATAGCAATGGCCTGCACGTTTACTTTACTTACTTACTGTTACTTTTTCCGACTTCTGTTACCTTGCAGTGTGGAAAGGAGAAGCAAACGTCTTTCTCTTGTTTGTTGGTTTGCCTGTTGCATGATTATGTTCTTGACTAATTTTTTCTCTGTCTCACTCTTTCCATCTTTTTTTTGGCCTGCCTCTTCTTCTGTTTCCATCAGAATGTGCTCATCGTACTTTTGAAAATTTTGGTTTTCTCACTCATTGTATATATGGGTTTCCAAAATTATGCATACGCACAATTGCAATTCTTGGAGGTGACTCAAATGAACCATTTTTGGCCAAACGCGCCACACTTTGGGATGAACAAGGCATCATCCAGTGGATATTTCAATAATGGCAGAACATTTTGAGCTTACTGCGGCTAAAGCCATTTTTGATAGCAGATGTAGACCAGACCACCCACCAATAACTCCACATGCCCAAAAATCGACGAGCGCCTGATTCCATTACGTTGTGACACGAACAGAAAACTCATTTTAGATTCTTATTATTTAGTTTTAGTAAGCATTTTACAGTACTTGCAACGCAAATTTGTCATAAAGTGCTGACGATTAGAGATATTCAAAGAGAGTAACATGTACATAAAACAAGGAGAGATAAGGACGATAGGTGTTTGCTAGGAAAGAAGGAGCAAACCATACCAGTACACCCACCAACCTTGTTATCCTTTTACTGGACTGCATGCTGTTGAGCAAAGACTTCAAAAGTTTGTTGTCTGTGCTCCCCATTAATAAAGGTGGTTTGCTAAATTATTGGCTCAAAATCTTATCAAAATCAGTTTCAGAAGAATTATTTTGTTGAAAGGAAATCAGAGGTAGACCAGCCTTATCAGAGAATGAAATTTTTAAAAAAATGGTAGGACAGGTCTATTCAGTTGTTTTGAAGTTAAATTTTTCTTTTTTTTGCAAATGTTTCCCAAATTCTTCTACACCCTCAAGCAGATGAGCCACATGCATGTGCATATGTGTGTATTTGCATATTCGTGTGTATGTGTGTGTGTGTGTGTGTATGTGTGTCGGGGGAGGGGGGGAGTGGAGTGCCAAAATACAGCCCAGTTATGAACGTTGCGGAGATGGGAACTTGGTTTGTCCAGAGTTAAGTGTGTATGTGCACAGTTTTCTTTACACATTTGTACACAATGTGCCCTCTGTCCTGATTGGGATGTATTGGTCTGCTTTAAACAGAACTTATATGTGTCAAGACATGGTGGAATCTGGCGCTCATCAATTTTGGGGTATATTGAGTAATTGAATTTAATCTAAAAGCTTGTTCATTTGCCTTGCTTTCGAAGCTAAATCTTGAATAAAAGTCGAGATATTTGCGATTGAACGAGGTGGGGGTCTCCTGCTTTCAAAGGGAAAATTAGTGAGAAAACGGCCGTCAAAGTTTAGTAACTTCAATGGCTTGAGAGTTCTTGAAAACTGAAAATTTACATATTTTGTGCCTTTAATCAATGTTTTTCAGTAAAACGCACATAGGAATGTGTTGTTATACAGACATAAAAGGTGTTGAGCCAAAAAAAAAAAATTTGATAAGAATTGCTAAACTGGAAAATTGCCTGTTTCTTGGATTGCATTATTTTGATGAGTGCCTGATTTCCCCATGCTGCCTCACATATGGTGTCTTGATTAATTTCAGTAAAGATCCACACTCACCAGGAAAGGAAAAGAAAATTGTGTACCTTTTTGCTTTGTTCTTTCTTTGTTGTATTATGATTTATCCACAAATGCTTAGTTGTATGCCTAAGTGTTGACACTTTTCTTTGCTCTCTCTTTTTTTTAGATAGACAAGTTCCAGACTACACCCGCTTGGGTCAAAGACTTAATGTCTCTGTGCATGTGGACAAGGAGAACAAGATTAATCCACATGTATGTATTACTGAATGGGTGCAGATGGAGTGTGAGTTTGTGCGTTTATGTAAATTTGAAATTAGAAAGCTAGAAAATTAAGAATTGATGCTAACATCAGAGTTCTGATTAACCATTAAGCTATTTATATAAGTGTACTGGTGTATAGTTAACCTATGACAAAATTTGAAGATTTATGTTAAAAAATGAGGCTGTAGAGTCGAAAAGGAAAAAAATCTGTCTTGTAAATATAATTCCTTCTTTGAACAAGGAATGTGTTTGAGTTTGTGTTTGTGTGTATATGTGTAATGTGTGTGTGTGTGTGTGTGTGTGTGTGTGTATGTGTGTGTGTGTGTGTGTGTGTGTGTGAAAGAGACAGAGCAGATTGTGCTAACTGGTATGTGCTTAGAACATATGAGTATGTATGAAGTGATCATCAGAAAGTTTCAGTAGTCAGTTTGCATGTAAGTTTTGCATTTATTTACTTTTTGTTTACTGGTTGTGTTCATTCTGATGAATGCAGTAATTCAGATTAGAATTGTCCCTTGTTTTATTTACCTAATCTTGATAACAGTTTCATTATCTCAAAATTTCGATATTGACAGTGTGTTACAATGCAAGTCTTTGAATTTTTCTTCTTTTTTCCCTTTGAAGGCCTCCTCCTTGTTATGTGTCCCAGTCATTTTTGATGAGTACTTGAAGCCATACATTCAAGCACACTGCCCGCGACACAGGAGAAAGCTGGAGAGTAAAGTTGAAGCTAAAGTCAATGAAAACTCAGACCTGCTGGGTCTTGACTTTACTTTTGTAACTTGGGAAGAGGACAACTATTTATTGTACTATACCCCTGAGTGGGGATTAGGAGCTGGTCAGGTACGTCATTTGGTCTTTTACGTTTTACTTTTACCTTTTCCAGCCTCTGTTACCTTGTGGTGTTGAATGGAGGAGCAGACATTTTTCTCTAGTTTGTTTTTATCTCCTATTGTATGGTTATGTTGTCCTTGACTAATATGTTTCTCTGAGCGCCTCTGTCCATCCTTTCCTGGGCCTGCCCCTTTCTCTGTTTCCATCTAGTTTCTTGTGGTATGCTCTCACTGCTATAATGTCTGGTGGTAGTCTTGTTAAGTGCCCAAACCTTTAATTCATTATCTATGTATTGTAAGCAGGGAGTTGAACCAACTTGTTCTTTAATAGTTTCGTTTCTCACCCTGTCTTTTCTTGAAATGCTTAGAGTTTTCCCAAGGCATCTCATTTCGCAGGCTTTGATTTTGCTTTGGTGTGTCTTGGTTATTGTCCATGTCTGGACTCGGTAATAATACAGTGTTGGTTTGAAGGTGTTGTTTATAAACTGTGTTTCCATTATGATGATTGGATTTAAAAGTAATGGTGCCAGTTGGTAAGTCAAAGTTTTGGCCTTTCGTATTCTGGTTTCTATTTCTCTGTTCTATTTCTCTGTTCTATTAGAACTCTTCTACTTGCTTGACTTTGTTATTGTCAACTGCGATGTTTAGTGGGCCTGGTGTTTTGCTGATTTTCAGGGCTTCAGTTTTGCTTGTCCTGATTTTCAGTCTGTGATCTTTGCAGCTTTTGTTCAGTTTGTTTACATGCTCTAGGAAGGTCTTCTCAATGTCGTTTAGTATACTCTTATCTTTTTGTCAATTACCAAATTACTAAAGTGCAGTTGAACCTGCTCTAATAGCCTCCAGTCCAAGACAACTACCTGTACAAGCGACCACTTCTCGTTCTCCCCTTGTATTATAAAAGATATCACAATGACACTGTCCGAGACAGCCACTTTTCTTCTCACCTTTAGCACAAACATTCATGTGCTTGGTCTGCACACAAAAGATCAAAGATCTTTTTAAAAAGTGTTCCAAATTTGCTCATCCTTTTTTAAAACATATTTTTCTATTGTTGCGATAGAGCAGCATGTTTTACCTTCAAAATAACCCTTAATATCTACTTGGGCATTAATATTTGGGCTTAGCTTTGGTATTGTTTACTGCCTCATTGAAGATGCCACACAGATAACATACTTATCCCTGCTTGGTCATCAAAGCAGTTTTTAGTTGCTATGATTACCTGGCTCAGAGTAGAAGGTGAAGGAGTGAGCATTCATTGAAAAGTGTGCAGAGTATACATATATGATAATATATATCTGCCAGTAGAAAGACTATGTCAAACAAAATGCTGAATATTGACCTAACACACACTGCTAAACTTTTTCAGCAGCTTGAATTATTTAAACCAATGTTCATTAGAAACCAAGCAGCCATGTTGAGGGTCACAGAAACAAATCTGTAAAGTCACTTCTCCTCTGTAATGCAGTATTGCTTCACGAGGGGTTTGACCTTGGCCACTAAAGATCGCTTTGATTGAGGTATAGTACTCTGTGAAGCCCTATAACTTGAAATAAAAAGTAGATGCAATGATGTAATCTGCATTTTTATGGAAAGCAATATATTTTGGTCAAACTATTGTGTAACTGAATTAAATCAAACTGTTTCATTTTGTTAGACCCATATGAATATCTGTGGTATTGCTTGTTTTCACTTCTTTTCAGAATGAGTAGCCTGCTGTACTTAGATGGTTCCTACTTGGATTTGTAAAAGCAATGACTGTACTGAAATCCCCAGGCTATCGCCAGAGCCATGTACCAGTGTGTAAAGAAGGCAAAGAAAGACAGCACTGTCATCATCGTCCCACCTGGAATTACCCTTCTAGACACTTTCATGTACCCACCTAAGTTCCTGGCCCAGCAAGTTTTTCAAAGCCTGGATGACATGTTGCAGGAGCAGGAGATCAGAGACGTGGACATTCATTTGCGTGTTCAGCACTCCCCATACTCCGAGGTAGCCTTAGGGCTGTGTGTCTTGGGGGACGGGGTGGGGATAAATGGTCACTCGGTTACGTAAGTGCAGTTTACAAATAAGTTGAAAACTTTGGAACGATTGTTAACCACTATGTCTTGAGCAAGACATGCTATCCCATGTGCAAAAAGTGAGTGAGTGTTTGACTCTTTCACTGGCTATGTAATTTCTTCTGAAAGCAGGCACCTGTTTAGTGCTAACGTATAGTTTTGTTCACTGTTTTACCTGTTTGTGTAGAAAGTATTGCATACTTCATATCAAATTAAATGAAATTGAAAGGTTGATTTGAAAAAAAGAGTATTTTTGGATCAAAAGTGGATATAAATTTGAAAAGTTGGGTCTGATTTAGTTTGAATATTTATAGAGGTTTGATATGGCTCATTGTAGAGACGGGAATAATGCTTAGCCAATACTAAACAGCATACAACAGATATGTGTAATGGACTATGGGCAGGTCTGATGTCGAGAAAGGAGCTTAGGAATCGTTCGTGTCTGAGGTGAAAAACTTTTTGGGGCAGCAGAACAGCAGAAAATTACAAGGACATGATCAAATTTTTTAAAGTGAACGTCCATCTTTTGGACTTCAGCGTGAGCATCAAGGTTCATTTTTGATGAATCATTTGCATGAATTTCCTCAAAACCTTGGTGATGTCAGTGATGAGCAAGTTGAAAGATTTTATCAAGACATTAGGATTATGAAGGAAAGATATTAAGGCCGATGGGACATCAACATGATGGCAGATTACTGTTTGAGCATTTAAAGAGACTGTTCAGACACAATGCGTTCCAGACAATTCTGCAAAAAAACAGCTTTTGTTATGAGCATGTTGCCTGCGTTGTGAATATTTGTACATCTTGATGTTGCCATTGTGAAATTGAGGACTGACATGATTTAAACGAAAAGCTTGTGTCTCACTTCTTTGTTTTTTTCCTTCTCTGAACAAGGTTAACATTTGTTATCAATAGGGATAATTCAATTACAAACAGTAAAAATAATGGTAATGTCTTAGAGAAAAAAACTTTGACATGATAGAGTAAAACAGGTGTCAATTTTCGTTTCAGTGAACCTGATTTACTAATAATTGTGTCCCTACCGGTCAATATCAGTCATATGAAGGAAATTTCAAAACTGAGTTAACATTATTGTAAAAAACTATCACCTTTTCTCAACAATTTAAAAAAAGAATGAGGTAAATATGACAATATTTGACAAAAATACAGAACTTTTAATTGTGCAAGGTGAGGAAACAGGAAAAGGAGAAAATGGCCTCCGAAGCTGAGCAACATGTTTCCATAGCAATGGGGGTCTTAGAATTGAGATAGAGACTTGAAATTTAGCATTTATCTTGGCTATGCTACTACAAGGTAACGTACAGAGTAGAAAACTATTCATTCACTGAGAAAAAACTTAAGGACAAAACAAAATTTTCAAGAGAATGGGACTTCACTTCAAATGCAACAAAATGTCAGCATTATACTAGGTAACAGATGCTAAATTTTCAAAGTTGCTGTATATCAAATTCATCTTTTTCAAATGAAAGGCCTATGTCTCCTGAGAATTTCGGTATCATACTTTTACCTCTCAGTCAATGTTTAAGAGAATGGCAGCTTTTTCAATTTAACATAATAATCAAATATTGCGGAAGTCGCCAACAGGTTGTAACCCCATGTTTGACAGATAATTAAAGAGTACCAAGTTCACCAAATATCTACATCAACAGAGTACAATCACTATAACAAAGAAATGAAACCTAATTGTTTTCAAGACTGTGACATCATTACAAATCATTTTATTGCCTCAAACACGTTGATCTGTCGTTATTTTAATAAAAACACCAAGCTTTGTCACAGGCGGCGTCGAACTGGCCCCCTCAGCAAGCTAGTCGACTTAATACTGTAGTATACTGAGAATTCCCGGTAGTTTCGCTGAAAGATTCATACGAAATATTTCCAAGCCAAAGACTTTATTGTAATAGAAGAAGAACTGTTCTTTCTATTGGTACTTTTTTTAGCCGTTATTTTACACAGTTCGTGTTAAAAATGATCTTTGAAAACTAAAGACGTTCTTTAAAGGTTTTCTATCCAAACGCCAAAGGCCAAAAATAATAACCGCGGGAAACCACGTTCAAAGCTGTATAGTTCTCCGCCAATGAAAAGATGGTATTTAATCATCAATCTTTCTGCAAGACATTCAAATGCATGGGTGTCAATTCCGACCGTGATGGGCTTCCCTTTCCACTGCGATTTTCCAGCTCCAAATAGTCGGATATACAAATAACTTACACTATTGTAACGAAGAAGATTTGAACTTTTTCAATGTGTTCAGCATTTGGTGTTTTATAGCAAAAGAGCAAAGAAACAGAGATCTGAATTACCCCTATTCCACCGAAACCACGCGCTCGGAAGGCCGCGAGTCGGCTTACGTGCAGTGTTAACGCTATGTAATTATAAGTTTGCAATAGCACCATAAACACATGAGAGCACACACACACACACACACACACACACACACACACACACACACACACACACACACACACACACACACACACACACTCACACACACACACACACACACACACACACACACACACACACACACACACACACACACACACAAACATGCGCATAGACCACCTCGGTGGCCTCTTCGTAAAGAGTCCACTTTGAGAGATCTAGAGGAAAGTTAATTAATCTTTGAAAAGCACTAAAACACAATAACAAAATTTTTTAAAAGTCAAGCCAAGTGTAAAACTGGAAGATCAACAGACGATATCAGCTAGCAGGGCACACCCACACAGTCAGCTGTAATTTACTTAAACAAGCTTGAAGTGAACTAGAAGTTATCGTTTTTACTCCGTTTTACCAACCAGAGTTGTTTACATTTCAGACAATTCATGCTCGAAAAGGGGTCAAAATCTAAAAATAGTAGCGAATGAAGAACTTTGAAGCAAAGATTCTCCTATCTTTGGTTGAAGCAAAGGTGACCATGAGGTAATGGTTCTAAAAATAATTTCACAGCTACGAACTAGCAAGGTCCAAATTCCTTTATCTCGTCACCCAAGCTCACAACAAACCACACACACCTCCAAAATAAATCAAAATAAAATATTTATAGTTGATTATAGTTGTTTATTTTTATCTTAAATGAAGCAGAAGACATCAAACTTTCAATAGATCCCAAGAACGAAAATTTCATGGAAAGTCACTTTTTTGCCTTTCGAGCCTCGTAACTGATAATACCACATTGCATCTTACGACTGATATTGACCGGGGGAGACAGAATTATTATTACTATAAATCAAGTCTCAAACTTAAGGGGGTAAAAAAATCTGTTTTGTAGGCCAGTATGTTTAATAATAATGTTATATTGGGATCACCTGGATTCAGTGACGTTGAAGGTTGATACTGATGACTTTGTTTTATCTGAGTTTCGCTGTAGTTAATATTTTTCTCCATTTTACATAGAGATGTTTTTACATCCTTGCTCTTTACTTGGGATGAAAAGGGAGTGGGATGAAGAGATGGACTTCCCAACTATCATGGTGGATAGAGTTTTAGAAGTGCAATCAGATAAGTCTGTCTGACTGGGAGGGTAAAACATATCCTTTATTATTAAAAGCCAAAGTTATTCGAGATCACAACGGAATAGATATGAGCAGTGAAGTAAATGTTCTGAAACAGAGACTGATATCAAATACAACATATGTCGAAAGCATGGGAAGAAAGGTGTGATTACTTTTGTGCACCTTGCACATTTGGAAAGTCGATCGTCTCGGTTTGAAGGAAAAGAAAAAGAAAATTTGGCTGATACACTCGGAGGATGCGTACTGTTGTATAATATGCAAATTCCGATTTAGTTGGCTGAGCTTATACTGTTCTTACTTTATTCCTGGATGGGAATTTCTCGTGTTTGTGTTACAGGTTTTTGAATTTTTAGAATAAATTTTCCCAGTAGATCATAGACATTTGTATTTAAAATGTGACAATTCTATACACGGTGCACCGGCAGTGGAATTTTAGTTGCAGCGGGGGGTTCCCGCTGAGCGCCTTATCACGTCGGGGTCACGGGGGTCAGCTCCCTGTCGCCGCTCTGTCTGGGTTGACTTAATGTTTGGTGCTTTTCAACGTACAGTTTTAGATGTATCTTTGTATTTATGGTAATTATTATTTAATGCACCCAAAGCATGCATTTCTGCTCTTGAGACACAAAAAAGAAAGGACATTGTAACTTGTCTGGTTTTTGTTAGACGCGCTGATGTCCGCAGTGCTAAATTGCCAAATGTTTTCGACAAGTGTGAATGAAAAAAAAATCAATATAAAAAAACGGCACAACAAAAACTGTCGAACGTTTGGAACATGAATGACATAACATTGGTGCAGATACTCAGAAAGGTAACAGAATCGGGTGAAAAATGACACCGTGTATAGTGCATCACTTGGGCACATACTAATCATATTATTTTTTTTATCGTCGGTCGCCTGATAAAACCGTGAATTCCACAAATTTTCAAAAATCGTTTTTTTGCATATTTTGATAGTGCTCGATGAGATACATGTCCCTGTAAAACTATTTTTCAATTATCTCAACTCAAACGTGTAATCTGACGTAATAAGAAAATCGTGAATAAACACTGTGCCCCAAAAATCGCCTGATGAAACTGTGAATCCCTCATATGTGTGGAATTTACGATCTCATCAGGCGGTTTATGACTCTCGGGGCTTACCGTTGGCGCCGTGAACGCCTCTTTAGACCTTTGAAATATGGCGACTGCGTTGAGCAAACACAATGGTCGGTCAGTATTCAGAGTTTCCAGGCCAAAGAGTATAATTTATGATGTCGACTGAATACGTTTTGCAGGAAAACCTCTCTATCACATGACTAAAACTGTTTGTTTCCTAGATGCAGGACTGGTATTGTTTCACTACGACTGTCACATTCGAATGTGTAATGTGTGTAGCCTTTTGGTAGTAGGCTATACAATTTTGATCTTGCTTGTCTGAAAAAAAAATAAAAAAATTGACGTAGTTAAGTATAAATTACAAGTATAATTTCGTGTTGTATCACAATCCAAACTTGTTTGACACTGAAAGTTCATTGATTTGACATCCGAGTTCCCTAACGAGAAAAGGAATTTTGTGAAGCTGAGCAATGTGAACCACTTTTGACATCAAAGAGAGCTGCAGAAAAACCTCCAGGGAAATAATAGAAGAACCAGGCCTCCATGAAAAAAAAACAACATTTCATTCAAAGTACACGATGCCCTGGAACTGATCAAACTGATCAAAGTGCTTTTTTTAACCTCTGAGAGAGAGAGAGAGAGAGAGAGAGAGAGAGAGAGAGAGAGAGAGAGAGAGAGAGAGAGAGAGAGGGAGGGAGGGAGGGAGGGAGGGAGGGAGGGAGAGAGGGAGGGAGGGAGGGAGGGAGGGAGGGAGGGAGGGAGGGAGGGAGGGAGGGAGAGAGGGAGGGAGAGAGAGAGAGAGAGAGAGAGAGAGGCCAGCAATAAGCAATATAAATCAAGAGATAGGACTATTTAAAAAAAACAACTAATGAACTGAAACCCAAATGTGATTACTCAACCAAATGACTACTCACTATTAAAAGACAAAGTCAGAATATTATAACTATCCTTGTCCTTGTTTTGACTTTGACATTGGGAGACTGAAAGACCTATGTAAAAGACCTATGTGAACGGTCTTCTCACCACGAAAGAGTGCAGTTTAAGCAAATGGATACACCAAGCTGAAAGACGTTTATTATCTGAAACAGAGTGACCAAAAGATCAAAGTTTGCAGGATGTTGATATTTATGACCAGGCTCATTTGCTCTAAAAGAGCCCAGGCCAGTTTCATCATCGCCTGGCTCACCTCATACGGACAAACACGTTACACTATTCCCTACCCTGGGTTTACTTCTTCATTAAAAAAAAAATGTCTTTCCACTTTTCTGTTCATCATTCTCTGTGACTTTTCTACAGGTTCCACATGGCCTTCTCTTGTTCGTTTAACCCGTGGACTCCAAGTTAAAACTTTCTTTGTTATGTAGCAGCCTGGATTCCAGATGGCATGCTCAGTCCAATCCATCTCCACTGCTTTCTTCTGTCTGAAAATTTTCTGCTTAATACTTCCTCATTGGTGTCTGTCCATCTGATCGTGAGGAACTTCCTCGGGTACTTGTTGATGACACCACTTTGTAGAGAGTGCTTTAGAAGAGCCCTATCTAGCTGCATCACCAAACAATCCACAAGGGTCGTGCAAGCCAAGGAGTTTCTGTTCACATCTGTGGACATGCTTCCGAAGGTTCCCTCCCACTATTGCCAGCAAAGCTCTGGAAAACTGAATCTTGATACCTGATTCTGTAATCTGTCGGAGCTTCTTTGGTTTTACGAAATAGCCTTCACAGGTCAGGGACAATCTGCATACTACTCAAATATGTGCTAGATGAAGAGAACATGTCGATTTATGAGCCAAAAAAGATCAATGTGAATTATGTGTGAGTTTTGAGTCTTGACAACGTCAGCCAGACAAAGTGGGAATCTCTCATGTCAGAAAAGAAAAGGACAAAAAAAGGGCACGCCATAGATAGAACCTTTGCTCTTGGGCAAGAAGACATTGGGATGATTTACATGAATCTTCAGGATGTACTTTTGGCACTGTCTATCAATTCTTCCAGCTCTTGTTTCAAAAGCATGCATTTGATGCACATAATCTTCAATGCGACCTCGTATGATGCCTTCTATTACTTATGACACAAGGCACAAGGTAGTTTGACTGCAAATGAATTCACAAGTTGTTTAATGGACTTTTTCAACGTGCAGAAATGCATGGAAGATTATATTATTATACAGCTACAGCTGTGTGTATGTGTGTGTGTGTGTGTGTGTGGGGGGGGGGGTTATCAGCACAAAATTGCGTCTATTTATAATGCCATGGGTGCCTTTTCAACTAAAACAAACACACAAATTGAATGCAAAATCTTATTAGAGGCCACACTCAAATGCAAGTAGAAAGTATGCACGGCGTCTTTGAGTGACGGCTTTAAATAAAACACACAAATATACAGCCTACTAGATTATGTTGCCATTTTCAGAACTGAAATTTGTAATTATATCAACGAAGACCCTATAAAGGGAAATTTGAGGATCACATTTTCCTCCATGATTTTGCCAAAATTTGCAGTCCATAAAACTGTCAGGTCGGGTAGACAAAAAGAAGACCAAACTGTTAATGCAATAGAAAGCCTCCGATATACATCATAAGGAGAAATCCTTTGCCAACTGAACTCTAACAAAGAGTGGGAGTGTCTTCTAAAGTCAAGAGACAAGGAAAAATTAAAAAAGTTCCCCACCACTGTTTCATTCTCCTTTAAAAATTGCAAAGAGTTATTTTCAGAATCTGAGAGACAAACAGTAAGATCATGAAAGATGATCATTCAGTCATTCACGGGGTATAGAAGTTTGATACAAAACAAGTTCTCAACCAATCCAACCTGCCCCCCCCCCCTTTCAGCCCAATAAAAAAAAGACATACACTTACACACGACTGGAAAAAAAAGAATAGAGAGAGAGAGAGACAGAGACAGAGACAAAGAGAGACAGACAGAGAGACAGAGGAGAGACAGAGAGAGAGAGCAGTCAAATGAAGGAGTATGATTTCATAAATTACATACAATTTCCCATTCATGTAATAATGATAGATGTTTATAGTGGTAAAGTAATGAATAGCTTTCTGTTTCTCTCAGTCTGTAATTTCATACTCAGTTTTAAATTGGGCTTTTAAAATCTTTTGTATAACAGTATTCCGTGCTTTCATTTATTTTTAAACACACAAGAGCCTCTAATAAGAGAAAACACGCTTCCTAATAACCGTGAATACAACATCACGTTTCATAAAGCCTACTGATGAAATCGTGAATTCCACACAGTTCACGACCGCTTCAGGCGAGGTTTGAATCTATGAAAATCGTGAATCCCACACTTTTTCGAAAAAATGACCATCTATGGTAAAAAATGTAGGCCCTGCTACAGTAGATTTATCCATTTAGTTTATGTCTTGAACGCCAAATGAAAGAGGAATGCAGTTTTTTCCCTCTTCTGTAAAATTTGCTTCGTGTGGAATTTACTATTTCATCAGGCGACTGACGATATGCTTAAGCTGTCCCCATCGTTTTATGCAAGAAAAATTCTGAAATTATGCAAACTGAGCCCAAAAATGTGAAATTATGCGATTCTGTGAATTTTAACAAAGAATGATGACGGAAAATAATTAGAAATTATGCAAAAAATGATCAAATTTTGCTAAATTATGCGGGGTGCATAAAACCATGGGGACAGCTTAAGGCTTTTGCGACAGGAAAATAGATGAAAAATTATATGGCTTTCAAATAATGATAATAGTATAATAAAGTTACTAATTTAAGAAAATAAGAAATGTGTTTGCAAGATATGCTGTTCATTCCAAACATGAAAAAAAATTCTCCCACTGTAACAATTTACTGAAATGCTTTTGTTTTTAAGTCTGCTCAAAACATAGTTCAATTTAAATGTCTTTAAAAAAAAGTAAAGAAAATTATTAGACCCTCTCTGGTTTTCATCTTTCCTGGGGTTTTTTCTATTTGATTACACAGGTTTTAATTTAATTACATTCACACCGAAAAAAATGTAATAAAGTTACTTTTCAGCAAAAAGAAATTAGTAACCCAGACTTGCACGATTATTTTACTTTATCTTCCAGGCTTTCAAGGCTGAAATGAACAAGCGCAAGAAGACTTCATCTTTCCTTTCTTGGGCTAAGTGTAAGGAAATGTTTCAGAGCATTTTCTTTGAAAGTAAGTCATGTTCCATAAACTCAAAGGAATGTTTTTGTTATAATGCCATTCACAAAATCTTGTGACAAAGCCAAAGTAGTGATTATTTCAAGTAGGCCTAGCTTGTCTTGCATAAGTAAAAGGCCTGAATTATAATGAGCATGAAGAGTATTTGAGTAGATCAGAAGTCATAAAAGGAACAGTAGCTCGGTTGTTGTTTTTACTGGTGTTGTTATTTATCCAGTAGCAACTAAGTTTTTACATTTTTGCTTGATTCAGTACAGTAGAATGTGCTGCTTCAGTTGTTTTGATTGCTGTGATGGAAGTTATACAGTGGTCAAGAAATGGGTAATTACAGCTTAACTCTATGCTGGTCAAAATTTTGAAGGGACTAGTCTTGTCCTACACAAAGTGATTACTGTTTGTTCCCCTCTGCTTAGGTCGTCAGTAGTGTCTTTCTTGTTTGAATTGTTCATTTGAACATGTACAGTCAAGCGCGGATATCACAAACACGTCAGGGATTGACAAATGTGTTCAACACATCCATAATTCGAGTAAATGTGAAAACGAAAAATCAAGGGAAGTAAATTTGACAGTATAAAAGTAGGAAAATCCATCACTGCCATCATAGAAAGTCACTGTCACTGATAATATTATAGAATGATACATAGTAGAATGTGTTAAGTAAGAGATAGGAAGAGGGTGATGTTGATGAACCTCACAACTAAAAAAAAAATTGCTGTTATGTCAGATCATGATGACTAAGATATGTAACCAACTCTGGTCGAAGGAGCACAGAACACGCAACCACCTCTGTGTTGTATTACTTCCTGATCCACACACACACACACCTTGTATCTTTTTCCGTTTTTTTTCATACACTTGCAAAGGAAAGGGGAGAGGTAAGAAAGATGTTTTGTTTACTCATTGAAAAACTTTACAAGGTTTGTTTTAGGTGAGATGTGATGCTCTGCTCATTTTCCGTTTTTTTTTCCAAAATCATTTGGCGTCCCTGGTCTTTGATCACACACTATCACCCAGCCCCCAGGCTCTCATGATTAGAGTTGAGGAAGCTCTAGGGTCTAATGCACACTACAGATAATGATCCTTAAAACTGAAAAAAAAAATTTGCTCTTAATCCTCTATGTCAGATCATGATGATTAAGATACTAACTTGCTTTTGTAAGTCTTGATACCGGCAGGTGGGTCTCATCCTGATGGCTCATCGTATAACCTGATATTCTCAATCCTCTTTAATGATGGGTGTGTGTGTGTGTGTGCGTGTTTTCCATTGTGGCAGCGCAATTTGAATTTGAGAAAAGTGTGGGGAATGATTTGATTGGGGTTTTGGAGATGAGCTGTTCAACACATCCATGTGGGTGTTTGAGATAACAGTGTTGCCAACAGTCGACTCCGCTTGTGTTTGAACTCGCTTAAGTTGATCTTCGGTTAAGTTGATCTTTTTCTCCAGTTCCAGCACCTCATCTTCTTTACAAGTCCCAACAGTTAGGTTGAACTTCGGATGAGTAGTCGACTGTACAAAGAAATTATAGAGGTTCAGTCAAGGAATAAAAGATAAGATACATCTTTATTGTCCAGATTCTGGAACATGGGTTTGGTGTTTCACCATGTACATACATGAGCACACACGAAAACACGCACACACACACACACACACACACCCCCTAAACACTCACACACACACACACACACACAAACATGCCCTCACTTGCATAAGTGCGCAATGTGCACGCCCATATACACACACACTCTTCCCCCACACATCCTCTCTTCCACACACATCTGTGCTCTTAACCACAAAAATATATAATAGTATGCTTGCACTCGTAAACAGACCCACAGTCACATGCATAATATAAATGAACAGTAATATAAACAATAGTAATGTTTGACATATGGTTCAAGCTATTCATGAATTCCAAGTTTTCTGTGTTGTAGTTCTCTGTGCTCAACTGTACTCATGCTTATTCTAGAGATCTTGTTCCCATTTTGGTCCGCCATTTCTCTCTCAGGTTTGATGTAGTTTTCTTGGGTGTCATGTCATGAAATGTAAGGCATGCTGACAAAATTACATTACTTCTCACAATCCACAAATGGAGATATTGGCCAAAAATCGCCACTAGGGTGAAATTTGTAGATTTTCTATTCATGCCATATATTCTAAGTATAACAGGTCTTTTATTGTTTCATACTAATAAATTGTAAAAACTTCACCTAAAAGCGTGATGTATCTATTTCCATAGGGCTCAAATCCGAGAAGCAACTCATTTTGTCAGCACACTTCGCAGAAAAAAACTTATGCCCCAAGTAGATATATATATTAATGTTTGACTTAATCATCTCAGGTCCATGTCTTTAATCTTTTCTTAATTTTTTTTTATCCTTCTATCCATAGCCACTTATTGGGATGTTTAGGCGGAACTAGTTGCTAGCCCAACCATGCATGCTACAGGCTTGGTCATTGACTTAAAGGTCATATTTTGTCCTGGGAAGCTGTGTACAAACTTGGCTTTTGTTTGGTTTATATTTTTACACATTTTATCTCAGTTGCTTTGGAAATTTGGAGCTTTCTTCCAAATGTTTTATTTCTTTTCACATTCCAGAATAACAATTTGTTGTTAAATAGGTCAAAGTCCTTGCTAAAGATTTATTAAATTCACTTCTTAGAAACTACTGAGTGAGCTTGGAAAATGGAACTCAGACTGAACTCACCTGTGTTTCCTCTACTATGAAAGTCCCCCCCCCCCCTCTCTCTCTCTCTCTCTCTCTCTCTCTCTCTCTCTCTCTCTCTCTCTCTCTCTCTCTCTCTCTCTCTCTCTCTCTCTCTCTCTCTCTCTCTTTCTCTCTCTCTCTATATATTTATATATATGTATTATATATATTCTGAAATGTTTTGTTTTCAGAGCCAGAAAAAACAAAGGACACCGAGTTGGAAATGGTCATCCAGCTTGTTGGTGTGAAAAAGGATCTACCTCGTGCTATTCAAAAGCTGAAAGAATTGCTGAAGGTACAGTCTGAAATCTATTTTGTTAACTCTTGTACTGTCAGTGGTAAACTTGCACTTGTTAGGGTAAAATCTAAGGAACAAGGATGCACCTTTAGATGTTAGAAATGAGTGCATGTGATAGATACAAAACCAGAAAATTATGTATATGGAATGCTCTTTGAAAAAGCTATAACATATGCTGAAAAAAATTTACGATTTCGACATTTCTCCCCTAAAATCTGCCGGAAATCTCGGAAACTGCTGACAACCCGACGAAGCCATTTTTACTGACTTGCAGAGTCACGGTCGCCAGCGGTTCTAAGTTAAATAACTTACTACCCATTACGCCATCTGGCATTTAGGGCAGCAACAAAGGATCTCCAGCTCTGTCTGTTTTGGGCCATCTTGATCAGCGTTCCCCACGAATGATTCCAGGACTTCATTTCAGATTCAACTGTCCGTCTCCAGGTCACTTTGGGTCTGCCCATTTTGGGACGTCCTTTGGGTGTCCAGTGGAGGGCAGTCTTCACAACAGAGTCTGGTGCTCTTCTCAGAACATGTCCAATCCATCTCCATCTTCTCCTTTTTATTACGGTGGTCAAGTTAAATAACAATCTTTTTTAGTCCTCTGGCTCAAAAAGAGTTCTGATACTACAGGTGGTCCTTCTTTTTTTAAAATGAGTGCACGTTCATTCAGCGTCACCATTTTGGGGGTTCGTGTAGACCGTTTTTGGAAACAGCCGATTTAATTGGTAGTAACAGTGTGGTGAGATAGGTACTTGCCAGTAATAGAGTTAAGGAATGACACTGACATTAGGAAATAACTTTGTAGGCTCATGGGAATAACACCACTTCAGACTTCCTTAAAAACTGAGCTAATGGTGTTGTAGCAATTTACAGACATTTCTTAACTTTTGTCAGTTTATTTGAAGTAAAAAATGTTATGGGTAGTTTTTTGTCTTTATGGCTTGGACATGTTAAAGTTGGTACAGTGAGCCCCACTTATGACAGTCTCAGCTATAACAGGATTTTGGCTATACAAGCTTATAAAAAATCCGCAGGTCCTATCTCTTATAATATAAAGTAAAAAAGTTAGTTTATAACAGGAATTCAGACAGACATGCTCGGCTATACAAGTGGTGCAACCATTGACCTAATCTTAAAACAAACAGATAAGAAAGGAGAAGAAAAGCAAATCAAGCAACCCCCCCCCCAGCCAACATTGATGACGGATTGTTCCTTCTACTTTCCTATGTGACTCACAGTAGGGCTAAGTTGATTGAGTACCCGTTTTATGATGTATCATCTTGTGTGTGCAGGGGAGGGAGGGATTCGGGAAAGCTGGATGAACTCTGGTATTGATGCAAATCCTGTCATTGACTTAGCGTGACCTTGGTCTTGCTCATTGTCATATTATTATAGTGTTAGCCCTCACATGTTTCAAGGAAGTTCTAACCCCTTCTACAAGTAATTTTTCTTTTTTTGGTAAGTATTTTATAGCACTCTCCACTGCATAAGGTCATATGAGCGCGTGGGACACACCAAACATTTTCAATTGGTAGGAAATTTTGAATTTTGCCCGGGTGGCAGCTGAAGCCCACTCTTATCGATTTTGGACCACAAAGGGATCTTTAATGTGCACAACTTGCCTACTGGACCTCCAAGATTTTTCGCCCTTTTCCGAGAAGGCTAGATGTAGATCTTTCCTATCAGAAGATCAGGGGTGTGGCCAAAAGACAGCAGTGAGAAGGAGCCAAGGAATAGCAGTAGAAAGGCTGCATGCAGAAAGGGTCAGGAGCCCAGTGGAGGGGGCAAAGGAGGGGTGGGGGTGGGGGAAGAAAGTGGAGAAGAAAGCAAATGACAAAATATTGCAAGAGAGAAGGAAAGAAGGTGAAAGGAGACAATGTTAGAGAAGAAAATTTTTCCCGTTGCTTCCCGGATTCGAACCTGGGACCTTTGAATGAGAGGCGAACTCCTTAACCTCTAGGCAGGCCACGAGAGCCGCCTACAGGTAATGATTGATGTCGTGTGTTGATTCCAATTCCAGTTCCAGCAGTGAGTTTATCACACTTTGTGGGGGCGACCATGGTGAACTCATCTAACCCAGTCTCTCGATGATGATGGGTTTGTTATTGCTTTCCATCATGCACGCAGGGCGACTTGAATTATAGATAATTGTGAGAAAAAACTTTATGGCGTTTTTCAAGAAGAGCTGTGTGACAAATCCGTGCATGGGTGTTTTAGGAAATACTGTTGCCAATATAAAAAAAATAGTCTATAGTAGTTGTTATTGATATTATCATTATTATTATTATTATCATTATTTTTGTTTTTATCATTATTTTTATTATTATTATTGTTGTTTTTAATCATTATTACTATTATTATTATTATTATTATCATCATTATTTTATTATTTTTATTGTGATGATTATTATTATTAATGTTATTGTCATTTTTGTTCTTATATATTATTATTTATTATTGTTATAATAAGGTTTGAATGGATTGATAGAACAAAGTTGGATTGTGTACTGTCTCCAGATGCCAGATCCTGGTCGTCATGGCATCGGGTTGGGTGATACCAAGACTTCAAGTATGACTACAGGGAACACAGGGGGGACCTCTAAAATTTTTCCTTCTGTCACTGGTGGTGGAGGCAGAGGAGGCACTTCAGGCCGAGGAGCATCCAATTTGACTGTTCGAGGAAGGGCCACTGGTCATACACCTCAAGCTACTGGTGGTAACGTAAAGCGGAAGCATTTAAAGAAATGAAATTCAAAGTCAAGCTCTTGAGGGAGCAAAACGTTCATCTTTTAACCCTTCTAATAAATCAGCTAGGTTTATCATAATAGAGCTTACTGTTGTGTGCAGTGTTTGAATTGAACTCTTTTTGATGCTGTTTAACCTTTGTGAGATGATATCTTTGTAAAAGGTGGTTACCAACCCCATCTCGAGGCAGGGATACTTTTTTTTTGGCCTGTTCCCATCACTATACCCTCATTGTTTTGCTTTTGTGTGAATTAACTTCCTTGGAAACAGAATACATAATGTTGATGGTGGGGCACAAGGCCCTCAGGATATGAGAAAAGAAAAAAAAAATCAGTTGTGAACCCATGGATAAAACACCATTTTATAAGTATCTCTCATTTACATCTGAAATTACATATTTCTTTTTACATTTTACCACCTTGGTCTGCTCTACACCCCATAACTTTTATCTTGTGGAAACGGAGTGTATGCGGAAGGTATGGCTTCAGACTTGCATATATACGTAAATGGGTATTTTCAGTTGGACATGACCACAGACATTTTTGTGTTTGGGTGTTTAGACTAGACAGAGATGGGATTAGTTATCACCAATTACCTGTATGTAATTTTGCAAAGTGATTCTGTACTTTTCTATGCAGCTTTTGTATTTGTCAAATTATCCCAGTTGGTCTGGGTTTAGTCTTTTAAAAAAAAAGATTTCCCTCGATCCCATAGTTTTCTGTTGACTTGCTTTGTTGAATGACCATGCATAAATGTAAAATATGGCAAATTTTGCTGAAAACAAAATGCATCTTGTAAAATAACAAGAGTTTTAGAGTAATGTGTGCATTAAACTGAGACTTCAAGATACAGTGGAAACCATATATAACGGGCCCGGTAATAACAGGGATCCGGTTATAGCAGGGATGAAAAAAATCCCCGTTTTTTCCTACTCTTTGTCTCTTTTAAAAGTTATCGGCAATAACAGGGCCTCATCAGAGCCCAACCGGTTATAGCAGGGACAAAGGCTCGTTAACAATGTGTAAAAAGTAAGAGAGAGAGAGAGAGAGAGAGAGAGAGAGAGAGAGAGAGAGAGAGAGAGAAAGTATGGAGCAAGCCCACACAAGCCATGCCACTGCAAGCACACGCAGTGTGTGAAGCGAGAGTGGACTGCGGTGTGCTGCAGACCTCGATCTAGCCCGAAACCTAGCAACACGCACGCGTAATGTGTCACCAACGATGTCAAGCGCAAGAGAAAGTGCCTTTCAATTGACAAAAAATTCGAAATAATCCAGGCTGTTGACAAAAAGCAAGCTCCACTGGCAGAGATTTGTCGTCAGTTCGACATTGCACAAGGGTCGATTCACATCATTATAAAGGATAGAGAGAAGATAGTGGCAGCATACTCCAATGGAAAGTTTGCTCTGGATGGAAAGAAGATGAGACTACCCGATGAAGATGCTGTGGACCAATCTCTTCTGATGTGGTTTAAAGTTAAAGAGGCAAGGAGAAAATTGATGCCAAGACCTCTGTTCGTGGGTACTTGTGGCAAGGGCAACTACCCCTGAATAATATGTGCAGCTGGATTAGTCCACAAATGCTTACTTTCCTTGCATTTCTGATGTAACAGGGATCGGATATAACAGGACATTTTCTCTACACCCACCATCCCTTTTATATCAGGTTTCCACTGTAATGTTTTATGAGGCTCCCATCTGTTTATTTATGGGTAGAAATATTTCACCTTGAGAAAATGTTGATGGCCTGACTGTGCTCCACAGGGAGTTCAAAAGGGCCAGAGAGAGAGAAATATTTCCTTAGAAAAAAATATACCCTAGGTTGGATAGTTATTCTGTTCACCATAATCTCAAAATGTGATTGTTCTTGTCTTTCTCCTTGCACTTTGCTTTGTAAATTTGCTAATAGCACCATGGTACAATGAATTATTTCCAGTCTTTTGCAGGTCTCTTTACAGTTGGGAGGGAAAGCTTTGGGGAACCTCAGTGCCTTCTAACTCTAGAGATATTTTGTGCGTATTACATGAATCAATCAGTTTAGTGGAATGAACTAAAGAACCGATTGAAGAGAGAGGGAGTCTTAGTAGAATCTTTTTTATACCACTCTTCAACAAAGTTCTCATAGTAAGACGAAAACGGACTATACTTTTTCATCAGCCTGATATTTGTTGAGATATTTATGTCATTTTCCTGTTGTTCATCCCTTTCCATTATTCTTAACTATTGTGAGGTGCAACATTTTACCCAATTATAAGGAACATTTTTAAGCGTCTAATGTGAATGCATTGGAATTGCTGTTATGAATGACAAATAGGCTACTCTTGTAATCCACAACTTGTTTGACATAGGCTTCACATTCTGGTGAAATCAGGCGGTCATCATAATAATGAAATTAAATTTAAACAGACATTTTTCTGCCTTTTGGGAAATTTTTATCAATTTTTTTGTTTTGGGCTCAACACCTTTTGGGTCTGAAAAACACATTCCCAGGGTGGATTTTACTGGAAAACGTTGGTAAAGGGCAGAAGAAATGTAAATTTGCTTTTCCCAAGGTCACTTCATCTTTAGAAGTTCCCAAACTTTGGGGAGCATTTTTTCCACTAGTTTCACCTCTGACTCTGACACCAGTGACCCCCACCTCCATCAATTGTAAATATATCTCAACTTTTGGTTTTTATTTGAGATTGATGGGTATTGTAAAAATTAAAAGCAAGGCAAAGTAATTTATTATATAAGCATTAAGAATATACCAAAACTCGATATGCCCAAAAATTGACAAACACCTGATTACATCGTGTTGTGACATAAGTGACAAATGTATGTTTGTTTTTTTTGTTTTTGTAAAGTGTTTTACGGCGTTCGCAACTGCATAGGTCATATGAGCGCGCGGGACACACCTAATATTTTCAGTAGGGAGGAAATTTTTGAATTTTGCCCGGGTGGCGGCGGAAGCCTACTCTTATCGATTTTAGACCACTAAGGGATCTTTAACGTACGCAAATTGCACACGGGCCCTCCGAGATTTTTCGCCCTTGTCCGAGAAGGCTAGGTGTAGATCTTTCCTACCAGAAGATCAGGGGTGTGGCAGAAAGACAGCAGTAAGGAGGAGCCAAAGAGTAGCAGTAGAAAGGCTGCAGAAAGAGTCAGGACTGCCGTCGTAACGGAAAACGACGAATGGTCCTGCAAGGTAGCGAGGCAAATTTTTCAGGAGAGGCAAAAACTTGTTTCACTTTATAACTCTTCTTTTTTCCACTCTTTTAAGCTGTGATTCACCAGATATCTGATTGAGATGTTCCTAAAGCAGTTTCTAGAGTTTGAATGGTTTAGGTTAAAAAGTAGCAAAGTTATTCGACATTCGTCGTTCTCCCTTACACTGCGCACCCGCAGGTGAGCCTTGCGATGTAAGCGAAAACGACGAATGGTACGGTTCGTCGTTCTCCTTTACACTCGTGAACTTTTATGGGCGTAGGCGATGGTCAGTTGTGACGCATTATTGACAGTAATGACTGTGTACTGGTTACTACAAATAAAAATAAGACGAATACAAACTAGCTATTATGCGTATAAAGTTAGGTTTTTGTTATATCAACTGTAACTCGGTAAACGTCCCTCGTGTCCCTTCCTTGGTTAAACTACACAGTCAGTGTACAAATCAGATGTGCACACATTTTCAGCAGCTTGATTTAAAACTGTCTCATTCGGAACCAAAGTTTGGTTTCCATGATATATCTTTACTGTATTCTCTTCAGAAGCGAGTTTTACTTTTATTTTCGCTAATTGCAAATATTTCCCTGCACGACCTAAGGGATCAACAATGTTACAATGTCAATAATACAATCAGATCATTGCAAAGTCAAACTTTCAAGTAAGAATGTAACAATCTGACAAGACTGTATCACACACGCTTTCGGGAGAGGTAATGGGACGCTTTGTATTTAATAAAGGATTCAGTTGATCGGATCGGAAAACATACCACAAAGTAGAGATCGACTGGAACGGTTTGAATCTGCAAGACATTATTATACTCGATCGTAACGTCCATCAAGTCATAAAAAATCGTAAAGCAAGACTAAGTGTCGCCACAATACCTCCACTTTTTAAGTTGGACAAAGAAATTTACTCTCATAACCCAGTGTCATTAATTGCTTGGTAATTCTATAATGATGTCGACCAGTGACACGTGCTGGACAAATTGCGGCACTATAGCCATCGTTGTGATTTGGGATGTCAAATGACTGGACAGCAAAGTAACATGACGTTAGTCAGTGAACATCTGGCGGACACTAATATGCAGTGCTAATAAATGTCTCCCTAAATACTGTTTTGACCGCCCCATCCCCACCCCTTTCCCCCTGTTTCCATCCGTTTTCCCCTCTCTCCCGCCTGCTCTTGTCAATTCACACCATCAGCATAGGCCTAATACGTGAAGACAGACAGAAAGACACACTAAGAGATACATTCTTATAAACCATCGACGGTACTCCGGTGGAGGGGGTGGTGGTATGTTTGTTTGCTAAAAAAGCCTAATATGTTTGTACTGACGCAACAGTGACCACTTGTCATTCGTCGTCCATGCCGAATTTGCCCAATGGCAGAGACCAGGGGACAACGCCGAAAGAGCAGTGATCCTTGACCGATCGACCATTCATCGTTCTCCCTTACACTGAGCTCTGGCTTGGAGCTCGCCAGTGTAAGGGAAAACGACGAACTCTCAATTACGCAACAACGGATTAAGATATGACTAAAATTTTTACACCATCAGATGCAGAATTAAATACTCTATGAAATATGTAAAAATACAAAAATCGGGCAAAGGAGGTGAGGGGGGTGGGGGCAGATAGTGGAAATGAAAGCAGACAACAGAACATTGCTAGAGAGCAGGAAAGGAGGTGAAAGGAGACAATTTTAGAGAAGAAAATTTTTCGGTCGCTACCCGGATTCGAACCTGGGACCTTTGAATGAGAGGCCAACACCTTAACCTCTAGGCCACGAGAGCCCCCCAAATGTATGTTTATAGTTTAGGTATTCTTTATGTTGCTGTAAGTAGGTTATAATATTGTTGTGTGTCAAAATACAGGATGACCAGAAAAAAATCTTTCCAAAGAACCCTGATAAAACTTATGAAAAAAGGTACAAATACCAGACACCTGGAACATCAATCTTCACTTATTATGCATTTTGACAGTCACAAAGTTACAAGATAATATGTTCCAGATGCCTCCTATTTTAAGTAAGGCACATTCTGACGCACTGAGTGAAATTGACAATCATGCGTTGATGCTGCTTGGAGGAAATCTTTTTCATACTCTCTGTGAAGGCTTCTCTTAAGTTCTGAATACTTTTGAAGTTTTCCTACACACTTTGCCCATCAAACATCCGCAAAGGCGAAAGTACGGTAGACTTGGGTCCAGACTGTCTGGGGTTCAGTTGTGCCCAGTCCCACAACTGTCTGTCCTTTTACCAGAGTGTTTGCTGATCCAGCACACAATAGAATAGAGACATGAGATGGAGCCTCATCTTGTTGAAAGAGCTGGGTCTTCTTCCTTTATGATACTTTATCTCCACCAAAGTCCCAAGCTTCTCTTGAACTTTGTTATGATGATACCGTTTTGTGAATCAGAGTTCACTGTAACTTTGTAACCGGATGCTGATTGAGAAAGAAAAATGGTCTCATGATGCTTTGATATCTAGTTGCTGTTCACACAGTAACCTTCTGATCATGCAGGCGTTTTTTGTGAATTTAAATGGCTTTGCTGATCCCAAATAAACATAGTTTTTGTAACTCACATAGCTGTTGATGTAGAAATGGGCTTAATTAAGAGAACCAGTCAATGTATATAAAAGTTCCATTCTAATACATGTCTACTCTCTGGCATCCATGTTTGCATCGGTAAACCATTGGTGAACTTTGATGTTGTACGGCTTTAGGCCCAAATCGTTCTTCAATATATGTTTTAGTAGATTCTTTGGGAATCTCAAACTCAAGACTATGACACCACTTATTGGTTTCTTTGGTGCTTAGATCACTGAACTGTTGTGCAACAGTAATGAAATAGAAAAAACATAATCCGGATGTATGCTCTATTTGTTCTAACTTCCTTTGAATTTCGGTGTAATTTTTTTGGACAAACTTTTTTTCTGGTCAGCTGGTATAATAATATATATATATGAATTCTCTTGAATGAAGTTGAAGAGCAATAAATGGAAAGTTACCTGCAATGGTTAATTATTTATGTAAAAAGTAAATTTCACTGAAGATGATGTCGGGAAGATACAGAGAAGCGTCAATTTAATGCAAAAAAGTCATCTTGTCATTATCAGTTTCGCCAATTTTTTCCCCAAATGAGAATAAATTCAAAAGTTAGCAATGTCACCATGCAGAGTTCATGTATTGTTATACAAAAGCAAATTTAATTTGATCAGAATTAAAGTGCCAAGTCCCATGTGTTAAATTGTCTCGATTCTTGTTTGCATAGTTAAAATGTGTATCTGAATAATAAAATAATAAATTACACTTTTATTTGTCCCAGAAGGACAATTTGGTTAACAATGGCACACATACATATAGGCAGCGTGGTGGAATCAGGCTCTCGTCAAAATAATTAAAGTGAAGAAACCTGCATTTTTCCGCAGGTTTGTGAACTTTAATCAAAGTTTTGTTTTTTGGCTGAACACCTTTCATGCCCATGAAAGAACTCATTTGTGTGAATTTTTCTGAAAAACGTTGATAAAAGGCACAAAATGTAACTTTTCAGTTACCACGGACTCTTAAGCTAAGGAAATAACTAATCTTTGACTGACATTTTCTCACTAATTTTACTTCTGAAAACAAGTGACCCTCACCTCCTTCTTTCGCAAATATCTCGACTTGTATTCAAGATAAATGGATATTTTTTAAATCCAAAATAAAGACAAGTGAACAAGCTTTTAGATGATATCAATAACTCTACAAGCCCAAAAATTGACAAGAGCCTGATTCCACCATGCTGCCTCACATATATATAAATACATGTGGGAGGGTGATGGGGGCTCAATTGCGAATGGCATGTTGTTTGGGACCATAAGTTGATGAATCTTAAAACATGTTTTAACCTTCATATACTTTGTGATTCTTGACTGTGGGCCAAGTGTGAATGGTGTGATGAGTGTCTGAGAGATTTTAATTTGGTTTTTATACATGATTGCTTTTTTAGCCCAATTTCACTGTGTTTTTAAAATTTTCTAATAACCAACTTTATGTTTCACTTTTTTTGCAACCCTGATTTTTATTTTTAATTACCATGAATTTGATTGACATGAATTTCAAGGCTATAGTGATTATGTTATTATTACTAATAATGATATAATTACTGGCTGTACTTCAATAAAAAACAATGTGTAAAATCATTTATTTTTTTTAGAGCATATTGTATTGGAGCCCCTTGATGTCAATCTCTTTCAAATTCTTGTTAGGGTTGGGGAATATTAACAGCTATCTAACTGAGATGGGAGCTAATTGCCCAACTGATCGTTTATTTGTCCATAGAAATAAAAAGCCATCTGCACTCCTTATCCCCCATTTTTTTTTCGACCTTACTCTTTTCTTGCTTATCTGTGGGTCAAGGTTTCAGTCTAGGTAAAAATAGATGTCCGAAGGCCACACTTTTCCCCGTCTTTGAAAGAACATACCATAGACTTTATTGAACACATTACACCCTAAGGGCCTGGACGGGAAGTCCATTGTTAGATCCTAAGCAAGGGGAAAGAACCCACCTCCCATGAATATAGGCCTTTAAAAAACACATTTAAAAATACTAAACAAATTCCAAAAATCCTGAAAAAATAAAAGTTAAAATAACTTAAAACGAAAAATGAATGTAGTTTCAGAAAAATATAACTTTATGTATGCGCAAACTGTTGGAAATGTTCTAACTTTAGTTCAATCGGGGTGTCCGACTAGTCACTCTCAGCCTCGCGATCAGGCCCTAGATCTAAATTCTAGATTTTCTATGTCTGATCAATCGGAACCGCCCCAAACTCTTGCTACGTTTCCATCAGAATCTAAGTCATCTGATTTGTCATATATGCTTGTTTTTGATCAAATCCATTTTTATTTCCTTTTTCGAACTCAATTGTGTCGCTTTTCAACAAGTTGAAACACCTTCGAAGTGTTGGTAACGTGATCGCACTTCGTTCAGCTCTAATACTAAAACTACAGGCCCGTAAAATTTCGTTTTGGTATCAAACGAAAGAAGAAACTTTTTGCAATAACTAAGCAAATCAAAATCTCGGTCCCAGAATCTCGTCAAGGCGAGACTTCGTTTCTAAGACGCTAGGTCAGAGCGGGCGGTTCCGGGCGAGTCAGGATGGAGTGCGTAAGGGAATTCCCGGGCGAGTTAGGGTGTAATGTGTTAACATGAAGATGCTTAACTTAAAATTCCTGGTGCCTTGAAAGGATTTCAAATCCCTGCGAGTAGTTAGGGGGTGCTCTAGTGTGGTTTGCTCCTTCTTTCCTATCAAACATCGATCGTTTTTATCCCTTCTTCTTTTCTTTGTACGTTACTCTCTTGTAACACCCTTAAGCTTCAGCTCTTATATGAAAGACCTATTTGTTTTGTGTTGCAAGTGCCGTGAAGCTCTTTACCACATGTAAAACAAGGAATCAAACTCTCCAAACGAAAAGGTTTTGGTGCATATCTTCCGCAGCCGTTATTTTATTTAGGGAAATTGTATCACAATTCTTCACACCATTCATTGATGAGCTGTCCATTTTTTAGCTTTTGAGAGAGTCACATATCTGCCATAAGCTGATAAAACGCCTTTTAAAAAAAATTCACAGCAGTTTCAAGATAAAGAGGATTCATTCAAAAACTAGTCACAGTTTAATTTCTATTTTTTTCACACAAGAAGGGTAACTGATCAGGCTTTCAGTTTAGCAAATAAACAAATTTGGCACCGAAGGCATTTTGTCAGCTTACGGCACATATGCCCTTCTGGATACAATAGGTTATTTCTAAGGCAGACAAGTGATTAAGAATTCATGAACAAATGAAGGGGAAAAGAAGGAAAACAAAGAAATATGTTCATGAAAATTATAGACATTTTGTACAGTTCCTCTATTTACTATTACTGTATAATGGAAAAAGAGGCTAGTTTGCTTGGTTGTAACATTGAGAAAGAACAGGTATGGTCTTTTAGTGCTGAGTAAAATTGAGACAGACAGCCGGACAAAAAATAAATTAGAACTAGACATCAAAAGAAAGTTTTCATGAATCCCTTGCCTGCCCAGTCAACACCAGATATTACTTACTGATAATGATATTTACATCAATAGTTTTCATACCCCCCTCCAGATTGGAATTCATTTTACTATGATTTTTGCAAGACAGAATAGTATGTACACCATGCTGTCCCTCCAGCTTCACCACAATAAAGTTCATCAGTAATTCGTAAGTTTTCCTTCTGTGAAGTAAGCAAACTAGGAATAAATTCCAAAACATTTCAAATTGACAAACATGCTTTACATACATGAATGCATACACACTACACACACAGACTACACAAACAATTCATGTACAATGAATCAACAGAATTTGAGGGGGGGGGGGGGGACTCAACAATAGACCAATCAGGTAAGTTCATACCTTATTTGGGCTATATATAGACAGGCTGTGTAGAATGAACACACTAGTCCTTCTATTTAGTATCTCAACTGACGATCGAAAGCAAATACATGCCTGACAATGGGTTAGAAATACTAATATGTACTACTATGCACACAACTCATCAAGGAGTGAAAGATGAATCGGTGTACAAATGAGTATACACATAATATCTATCTATACATAATATATATACAGTCGGGCATGGATAATTCAAACATGTTCGACACATCCATAATTTGGGTAAACCGCATGGGAAATTCAAGAGATATCAGTCGAGGAATGGCAAACTGTACGAACTATCCATTACTCAAGAGTTTTCCTTTTCATGTTACCTCATATATATATATATTTATACAAAATATTTTGGTAGAACAGGATGCACAAGTCTCATTGAAAGTACAGTTGAACCTGCCCTGACGGCCACCTCCATAAGACTGCCACCATATTTAAACACACAACCCCTATCACACAAAGCAATAATACCCGTCTTAGACGGCCACCTTACCGCGACTCCATTACGTTTTGTCATAAATTACATTGGCCCCTGGCGTTGTGGGCGAGCCGTCATAATTCAATCACCTGTCGTTGTTGTTAAGTAGTCCCTCCAACCGATCATGTTGCGTAGGCCCCTACCATGGTAGACCAATAGGTAACAATTTTCAGCTGCTGGTGAGGTAAGCATGTGATCCCTCATAATCCATAAGCCCCGCCCAGAACTCATGCACAAATCGTAAGTGAGATGAGTGGTCACTGTTTACCCAGTCTGTAACAAAGTAACAAAGGACGTCAACATGAACCCGTGACAGAAGCGTCGCTCGTTCTCCGAGTTGTGGCGACTCATGAGTTTGTTTCAACATGGCACTCGGTCTTCCTCGTCTGATACATTTCGTTTTATTGTCACCCTTGCGCAAAATCCGCAACAAAATAACAAACAAAATACATGTTCAAACCAACAACAAAAACAACAGCAATGCGGCTACTTTCGATTGGGACCTCAGATGGGAATGGTTTTTTTTTCCATTTTGATAAGTCCTGCCTAAGACGGCCACCTGTCTTATACAGCCACTTTTCTCCTTGACAAATGGCGGCCGCCTTACACAGGTTTGACTGTAATACCGATACCGCTCAGATAAGTTTTACTGTCAGTACAATATTCTTACTTGCTACTGTTAAGAGAAAAACAAAGGGCAACTTTGTCTATAGTAATAGTAATACTAAGGTATTGAGTTTCTTACAAATAAGATTTTATAATCCTCTATGGCATAGCTCTATGTACTTTCTCAGTAAAATTCCTTATGATTCACAAAGTCAAACTAAAGAGATCACGAATGTAGGAACATTATAATTAAATAATTGACACACAATTTAGATCATATGAGAGGCGGGCGGCAAAACGCTGCCTGTAAGGGTCAACCCGAGCTGAGAAGGATACAACTTCTCAGCAGACAGGTACGAATTACTGAATTTAAAAAAGCCTCTTCATAGGGGAATAACTGTCTTCTGCGTGTGACAAACTCAATTATTAAAACTGTGGAGAACATTTGTCACAAACTCATCCGCTAGCCCAGCAGTAGAAAAACAACTACTACAGATGTCTTGGCTTTCCCAGTCCTTCCTCAAATCTTGTATACATTACCCAAAGAAAGCCTCTCGATAAAGTAAAGAGAAGCCCAGCCCCCCCCCCCCCCCCCAAAAGCCCACTGTTTGTTTTGAGAAACCATCCACTACATGACCAGCCTTTCCACAATGAGTGAAGTGTTACATCAAAGAAAGAGGCTTCCACAAGCCATTGGGGATACCCGGCGCTGACAAAATTAAATTATCTCTAAAGAGCACTGCAAATGGCCCAGAGTGCACACAGTTCCTATACTGCTTATGTGTAGGCACACATCATTTCATTGATTTCACTCGACACTTCTACTATGTCATCACACTTGGCCGGGAACAGGGGAAGGAGAAACCAGGAATGATAGTTTGGTTAAACTGCATTAAAACTGCAGTGGTAATAATGATTCGCGTAGTTTTATGAAGGAGAAGGTCAAAACCCAACTTAACCATGTGAGGGAAAAGAGTAACACAGAGCATAACTTTCTAGTCTCACACTCAGATGCACACACATTTTCACTTCAGCACTTCAACTAAGCAGTAAGGGCTTTGGATGGATAAATCTTTTTGGACGTGACTCATACCCAAATGTACAAAGTAAAATGCTCAACGAAAAGACAGGAAGCCTTTTCACCCTGTGGGTAACATGTTATAAAGCTGGAGCTAATTCTTTTGATTTTCAGATATTGAAACATTTTCATGTCTTTGATTCCAAATTGAAAAAAAAAAAAGGAGAAATTAACAGATACCAGCATAGATGCAGTGCCTGGAATCAGATCAGAAGTGCTGTTGGTGTCCTGATCAAGGTAAAAAAGTAAAAAGGAAACATGCATCTTCATCAACTCTATTCTTGTTTTCAACAATCCTGTTCAGGAACCTGGCAGTACCCTTGCTGCTTTCTACACATGGAAGGGAATGATTGTGCTACTGGTCATTTGACAGTTGGTTACATTCAGGTGACGGTCACATTAATACCACCAAGGTCAAGGCATTGTCGCTTTCATCAGCTGTTGGAGACGGTCCAGACGCTCATCAATTTCGCTGATTTCAGCAGACCGGTCAAAACCTTCGCTGTCATCCTCCTCTCCCCCTGCATTGGACAAGGGAAAATATACATTATATGGTTCAATACAAACTCCCTTGCAGAGAACAAAGAACTTAAAGATTCATAGATATTAATATGATTGATATGCAGAAAGACAGATGGGACATTTAAAATGAATAGACAGAAAGATTCTTAACAGATGGAAACTGCATAGCTTTATCATGAACAAACAGAAATTACAGCATCTGAATATTTGCCAAAACAAGGCCAAAACTGTTTGCAACAAAATATACAAACTCATTATGTCATGCCCTGTGTAACTGGTTTCTTGAAAATTTATAGACCGGGGCCCCCCAAAAAAGAAAAAAAAAGTAAACCCCAACAAAAAAACTCCCAATCTATTTCAATAAGAGAAGATGCAAAAAGTTAGCTCACAATCACAATACTTTTGTACTATTTCTAGCACTTGCTTACTTCTGATTCTTAATCTTATAGAGAAAATAACCTTAGCTATGGTTTTGGAAAAAAACAACAAGCTGACTTATTTCTTCCAGTAACATGTGTAGAGTACTATAACACCATCAAAATGGTTTTTTCCTCTGAAAAAAATGGACTACTAACAGTCTATAGTTTTGGCACACAGCAGTTTTATGTATAACAATTCTCCAATTCATGACCTATGTATGTATGTCCCACATCATCGGTGCTCTGATGGAATCTAATTAACTGATTACGGCAAAACTTTTTTTTGCACCAAGATCGTGAATTTTATATGAATTTCCCATTTGGCTTGGTCCTATCTGAGATGGAGGTTAAACTCGGAGGTCCTGCCTCTTACATAACCTAATAATTTTGACTGGGGCGTTAAACATACACCATTTGACATTTTAAAGAGAACCCATAGATAGTGAGGTTAGTTGAGAAACTGAAAGTCACTTGTTGCCCTGTTCTAACCTCGCTGACACCTTTGCGAGGTTCAACGGAGCAACGCTTGAGAAGACAATCTTGCTAACCAAAGGAGTTTTTCTTCACCAAGTCAGATTACGTAATAATGCGCTCAGTGAAAACACATGCCTCACTGCAGGATCTTGTCCAGGACCCATCACAATACATTGACAAGATTTGATTGCTTAAGTGCGAACATTAACAATGTTAGACAGTTCTTTTTTGTTTCTGCTGAAACATTAAAAAATTCTAGTTAGCAAAGTTCCAATGGGGCGCCGATGATATATCACATACCGAGTATTAGTGTAATTTTTACCGTAGAACAAACAAAAAGTTACAATCCCCCCCGCCAATACCCCTATTGTAGTAGAGTCGTAGTCTAGAGTAGAATGGAAATAACAAAATTGCAAAGACACAAAAATCTTTTCGATAATGACAAATTTTGCTATGTACTTGTTCTAATACAAAGAATATATATGAGTCATGACACTGTGGAATCAGGCGCTAGTCAATTTTTAGCATTATGGAGTTATTGGTAGCATACTAAAGTTTTTTCATTAGTCATGCTTTCGTTGAAAAAAAATACCCGTCCGTCTGGAACAGCAGTCGAGAATTTTGTCATTGAAGGAGGTGGGGGTCCCCTGGTGTCAGATGACAAATTAGCGAGAAAATGGCCACTAAAGTTTGGTGACTTCTATCTCTTGAGAGTCCTTGGAAACTGAAAATTTACAATTTTTTTTAGCCTTTAATAAACGTTTTTTGGTAAAATCAGCACAGAAATGTGTTTAGTTTCTAAATGGACATAAAAGGTGTTGAGCCAAATTACAAAAACTCAATAAAAATTGCCAAACAAGCAGAAAAATGCCGTTAAAAAAAAAATTACATTATTCTGCACCTGATTTCACCACAATGCCTCACACATACTTCATATAGTGTAATAAAAAGACAACCTGTTGTCTAAATGAGAGTTTCCCTACGAGTTTGTTTCGCTATGTGGATGCTAGACTGTAGTTTATGCACCCCGCATAATTTAGACAAATCTGATCATTTTTTGCATAATTTCTGATCATTTTCCTTTATCCTTCTTTGTTGAAATAAACAGAATCGCATAATTTCACATTTTTGGGCTCAGTTTGAATAATTTCAGAATTTTTCATGCATAAAACGACGGGGACAGCTCTACTCTACCCACTGTGCTCACGCTTCAGTACATGGCAACGTCAAACTAGCAGATCTAAATGTAGTATACAAAACTTTTCTCTATTTATTTTGTACACAAACCCAGTCAATTTTATCCTTTTAAATTATTTAAAACGTTATGTTAATATGTTATGTTTATGTGGCATTATGAAGCCCCATGGGGATATAACTAAATAACTAAAACAGTTTTTTAAAAGCTGATTGTTGTTTTTTTCCCCTGAAGTCTGTGTGTGTGTGTGTGTGTGTGTCCTGCAATTGTGTGTGTGTGTGTGTGTGTGTGTGTGTGTGTGTGTGTGTGAGAGAGAGAGACAGAGACAGAGAGAGAGACAGAGGGAGTGTGTTGACCAGTGCATATGGGTGTATGTATATACCATGCCGCAGCAAAATTTTATCTTCGTGAAGATTAATACAAGGCAACTTTATTTTATTGTATACATAAAATCTTTGGCTCTCATACCACTGTCTGCTACACGTGGCTGTCTGCGCGTCCTCGCCTGGGTCTTGCCGAAGCCAGTGTCTGGTGTGCTGGCTAGACTGATGCAAAGGTTAAGGTAATTATCTATTTAAAAAAAACCCAATGTGAATGAGAAGCAGCATAAAAACCGAAGGAAGCTAAGATACAGATAGAATTTTTCATATGTACATATGCTTTGTAGGGAAACTTTTAGTTACTCGATAGCTCTTTCAATACCAGAATTGAATTTCTTAATATATTTTTTTCGGTCCCGGTCAACCTCTTTTTCAAAGTCATTTTGAACAAGTTTTTGACAGAATTTTTACCCACTTCTTCCAACATAAAAGTCTCGGGAGACCACTCATCCAGGTGTAAAAGAAAATGTGACTAGGACATTAAAAAGCATAAAAAGTAAACTGGATGGAAATAAAAAGTTTTGTTTTTTCCAGGTTGCATGTCACTTTAACGCTGTAACATCTAAGTGCAACAAAAGTACATCCAATAAGACCATCTAGAATAAACATCTAAAAATTGAAAAGTCCTTGACATTGCGAGACAAGATGAGAAGATGCGGTGCTGAGAATATTTTGAAATGAAGTTCCCCTATACTGAAGCTTTGATTAAGCCTTTGAAAGTTCCAAAATCTTTATGCCCTCATGGGCATTGCTTTATCTCAGGAGAAAGGTAGAAATATTTGCTAAAATACCTTCCATTGTGGAATTGAAATCATTCTTTTTCCAGCAAGTTGAGGTACTGAACCATTGACACCACAGACAGAGGTGAGCAACCAAATACATCTATCAATGACAGTAAAAGGATACTGGTTGATTGTTTTTCCATTAACAAGACGTCTTGGCTTGATTCTTGGCTGATGGAAAAAGGAAAACATGATATAAATATTTCAAAGTCCGCGTCAAAAAGATTAGCAGTCATAAGTATTCTAAAGACGACATAAGTCAATAAAATGTAAGATGAACAGACTCATCTAACAGAAACCCTTGATAGGTTGTGAACAAAAAAAAACAAAGTAAGAGTGATGGATTACAGTTTTGTATTGCTTTGTATAAGAGGCTTGTCCGACTTCACACCATGCAAGTTCCTTGTTCACTTTGTTAATTCTGATTTCTACAAGAGTCTCCAGAGGGAAATACAAGATGACAGCTGTTAGGGGCTCAAATACTATCATCAAAATACTTTTATTTTTGCGCATGGCAAAGAACCCATTCGTAAAGGAAAATAAAATAGAGGGCCTTTACCCCTTCCCTTACAGTATGACTGTCAACAATCTTATGACTGTGATTACAACTACACTCATAATCAGTTGCAGTACACTTGGAGACTCTACATGCAATTCCCATCACAAATAGACCTGTAAGCTTTTATCTAGAATTAGTGCAAGTATACATAAACAGCATTGATACAAGCATGTACATACACTAACCCGCAAAGAGTTACACACACCAGCACTAGAAAATTGTACAGGAATGCAGATTTACATCCTAGAGTATCAAATCAAATTAAGCCAAATGCATCAGCTTTATTAGAAAATCAGAAAGAAACAAGAAAAGTAAATTTTCATTCTGAAAAATCATTAAGTGAAACTTGGATACAACATAGTTGTTGGGAACATCTTTCAACTGACTTTTCAACGCAAAGAAAATATATGTTACTTTCAACAAGATAAAGTTATTTGAGGAATGCAACAGGAGACCAAAACAATTTTACAAAACAGAAAAAACCCTAATTATTTTTGTGCAAGTAAATCCTTTCCACAAAAGCCACATTCATTCGCAAACATGTTTGCTCTCACTCACCCCAGCAGGACTATCCCCTAGATCAGATCCTCCTAGTCTCTGCTCACCACCTCTGCCGGAGGGGGGCCTGGCATGGAATAGTTGCAAAAAGAGCACATCAAGATAACTAATCTTTTCAAAATCACAGTTTGGTTGAGGATTTTTTGTTTTAGTTCTAGTAAAAGTTTTACGGCACTTGCAACACGATATAAGGTCTTAAAAGTGTCGGAAACAAGAGAGTAACAAACACAAAAAAGAAGAAGGGGAGAAAAGGACGATAGATGTTTGACAGAGAAAAAGAAGCAAATCACACCAGAGCACCTGCCAACCACCCACATTGTAGACTTTTTGATCTAAACGAGTATCTTGTAAAAAGAAAGTGAAGCTGGTCACTCACTTTCCTCAGCAATTCTTTTGTTTGTTTGTTCTTGTAAAGAGAAACTCCATGACATAAAGTATGATAAAGGCCATTTCTGCATGGAAAAAGGACGACAGAGAGACAGAAACAACTGAGAGAAAGAAAAAAAAAATAAAGAACTACAAGTGGCACCTTCCAAACACCTGTTCTCAGCACTTCAAAATGTGTTTGATCACAAACTTTTGAGAAAAACACATAACTCTGGGAAATTGTATTTTTTTTCAAAATTATTCTCAAGTTGGGATCTTTTTATTCAGTTTTGTTTCTACCTTTTGCTACCAGAAATAGATCATTAATAACATGACAAAACTCTTACATGAGCAAAATGAAAGTAATAAGAAAAATGATTTAGAGTAACCCTGACAGAATGGATCTTACTACTCTAACGGCATAAAAAAGGGAGCCATTGCCTTCAATAAAATTAAAACGTGTAGATATGTCAAAACATTTTCAAGACATAAAAAAAGAAAACCTCTTGAACTGTATAATGAAAAAACAAGAATCTGGGACGCTTTTAACAATCTACTCACAATTATGATAAAAGACTTTGGCCATAATCGTAGCATGTTGACAAACAGCTTTACACAATTAGAATAAGATTCGGAAACCCACAAGTTTATTAAAGTAAAAAGAAGCACCTTGATACAAAAAACAATCATTCAGCAGAGAGAAACAGACAGACAGACAGACAAGACGAAAACAACAAAGGGAAAGAAAAGAAGAAGAACCTAACAGTGTTATCCTCCAAACATCCTCTGGAACTGACAACTTTGTTAATGTTGAACAGCAGTTTATGACGAGACAGTACAACAAACAACTGTCACACACACAGTCATAATATGAAACTTTAAATACAGTACAGAAGTAGAAAGAGTGCACCTCACAAGAACACCCTCAAACAACCCTTACGATTGAGAGCTAAAAAAAGCCCAGATATAAGACAAAAGAAACAAATTGGGCCGTGAACACACAGTCCCAATGAAACGTAAACGTGACACAAAAAAAGGAGAAACAGTAGACTTCCTCAGTTCCAAATACTAAGGAAAATATAGCAGCCCCTACAAAATTATACCTGTACTTTTTTACTCAGCACTCCAGGCCACAAGAGTCAGGAATTTTTGTTATTTCTTTGAGATGTTGTTTCACTTACCGTAATCTGCCCGTGTAAGAACCATCTGATGCGTAACCATCACTCATATTCCCTTGACTTCCAACTAGAAAAAAATCGTAACGTAATATTAAATAGTAAGATACAAAGAGAATAAAAATTTTTAAAGTTTAGAATCCATTCACTATTTCAGATTTATGATATAAAGGAACTACACAAAACACTGGAAAACTACAGAAGAAAAAATGGCAGGGTCACATTTTAAAATATTTTCTATGTTACAAGATACTACATTTTATCGTAACATTTCATATTGAGAAATACGACAGGGTCCATACAAAAGTGAAGGTAGTAAATTAAATATATCCTTTGAAAGATATATGAATTTTACAAACTTTACAACTAACATTTTTCAAAATCACCAAAGCGTGACTGCTGTAGGTGTCCTTTGTAGTTTTCAAATAAGTCTACTTCAGCAGACAATACATAAATATAATACAAACAGTGAAAATGCTTCTTAAAAATTCCAAAGAGATATAGGCAGCACAAAATGTGTAAAGGCTTTCACAGCTTGTATTATAGTACATTGGAGTCCACTTATAACGAGTCCTGAAATAATGAGAAGTCTGTTACAACAAAGACATTATTCTAAAACCCCGTTTTTTTCCCTTCTTTATCTTTGTAAATAAAATACTGCTATAGCGCAATCAGATAAACGCGCAAGTCGGTTATAGCAGAATATTGCTGCTGCTGTGCACAGCGCATAGGCCATTTATACATGAAAACCTCGCCAGTTGAGAAACTTGTTGGTGATCAAGCGAAACAAAGAATGGGAGAGCCTATGTGTGCCAAAGACGAAGGCCGGAGTGAATGAGTGGGGAGGGTGTGGCATGCGCAGACAAGCCGTTGTGAAGCAAAACACATTGCCTGATAGTGATAAGCCAGCCTAGTCTAGATTATCTAGGCTTATCATGCCTCTCACTTCTCCAATGCAAGGATGGAGAGGTAACAGTGCTGTGAATGCTGTGATGGATCATGGAGCGAATGTGTGACGTGCGCAAGCAGCGACGCACCACAGGGTGTGGTGGGGTGGGGGAAAATACAGCGGGCGAGTTAGCCCAGGAGAACTTTTAAAACTTTCGTTCTGATAGCCAACGCCGAGCTATCAAAATCGCTAACGCTAGAGAAAGAAACCTGATTCAGTTTTTGATCAAGTAAGACCTAGAGGTCATGTTGAACAAAGTCATCGTCAGAGGAGATAACAAAAAGAAATAAACAGAACACCTAACTCATAGATTAGGCCTACTTTATTATTTCCTTTGAATTTATTACTGGATCCCTTACAACGAGAATCTCGGTATAACGGACATTTTGTACCGGTCCCCTCCCTCTCGTTATAACAGGATTCCACTGAATTACCAGAATTCCATCCTTCACCAGTGTCTGCAGGCAGGAAAAATACCCAACCCATTCATCATAGAAAAAGACTTAATTTGACTTTACAATGGGTATGCAAGAACACACTTAAAAAGTGAAGAGTGTGAATAAAGAAACAACTAGCCTACTCATGAGAGGGTCAGTTTTTTAGTGTCTACTTGACTGTTACCCGTAAGTCCACACTGTATGCCTAGAAAAATTTCCCAGAGGCAACACACTTCATACCCCTCTTTGTTCTAGATTCTATCATGTGCAATTCCCGCCCATAAAAGTGTAAAAATGGACATGATTGCATCAGCATGTAGACAATGAAGAGAAGAAAATGACTCATGAAGAGGAGGGTAGAGCTCTTCATTCAAAACTGTGTAGAAGCAAGGAGATATGAATGAAATAAAACACTGCTTTTTAAGGGTGTAGCAGGTATGCCCTCAGCAGCGAATTATAAGGACATACTATGTTCTCCCACACGCAGGGTAGAGGAAATTGTCATCATAGCAATGCTCCATCCCTCAATACAGATGATGATGCCTGCGATGTAAAGGATTCAATTTTAAGTTCTGCGAAGAAGCTGTTACTTAGACTGGAATACACCCGAGAATATAGGTAGCAGTAGTAAGAACTATTAATGTTGTGTTCGGCATCTTGTGTCTCTTCAGAGGCTGTTTATAGGAAACACATGAATCAGACATTACCTCCAACTGTAAGAAGATCAGGGCGAGCTAATGTAAGTGAGAAAAGAGTGAAGGAGTTTCAGTCATTCAATCATTTAAGCTTTTACACTTTTCAGTTCAAGTCTGCTAACCTTGGTTTGAAACAAAAAAAAACCCTGAAGGTATTCATTTATCTCATTTTCAGAGAAGATTTGTATCTAGAGGAAAAGAATAAAATGATGTTTTATATACAAAGGTTGGGTGAAATTGTGAACGCAGGCTAAAAAGATATGGCCATTGTACGCATACAGGTGAAATAATACTCAGGGAAAAACCTGAGGCTAGACCATGCAGCAACCAGAAAAGCAATTTGGAAAAATTAATGATATATATCAAAATGAGGTCAGGGATAAAGAATAAGAGGAAAGAGAATGAACAAACTTACTTGAATTCTCTCTAGATGATCTTTGACTGTATGCTGAAAAGAAACAAAGAGAAAAACATTACAGTCCATGATTCCATAATGGATTTTAATTGAAAGAGTTTTTCAAAAAATGCCTCAGCGTACTACCTTAACCCATCTGCATGCTTCAATAGTTGCTCATGAAAACCAACTGGCTGGACACTATCAGTAATGCTATTTTTTAGAGGAAAACCAAAAAACAATGAAGAAGAGCATGAACTGAGGTCTCTAATTGAAAATGCCGAAATTGGTACACCCGACCTTAATTTGAAAAAAAAAAAAAAGCGCACCTACCACTACCTCATGATGGCCACTGACAAGAAGAAAACGATCATCTTTTAAATAATTTTAAAAGAAGAAACAGGAGAGTTTCTTTTTACAATTCATTAAGCAAAAAATTTTTCAAAATCTAGGCACCCAGCAAGGTTGTCAGCTAATGAAGATCTAATTCAAATGAAGAGAAAGATTAACAGGTTATTACACAGGGATAGACAGAACTGTAAAGTTTTTTTTGTTTTTGTAAAGTGTTTTACGGCGCTCGCAACTGCATAGGTCATATGAGCGCGCGGGACACACCTAATAAACTGTAAAGTTTGAGTTTAAAAAACAGTTTTAATTCAAGATCACATCACAGTACCTGAATGTCTACTGCTGTTAACAGATTGCTTGGATCGAGACGAAAGTCCTGACAAGTTTGATTTCTGTTCTCTGCGTCTGAGAAAAACGTAATATAACAAAGGATTGTAAGCAACATTCAACAAAATGTTCAAAGTGCTGAAAATACTCCCCTAATTAAGGTGATGAAAGTACTCCCCTAATTAAGGTGATGAAAGTACTCCCCTAATTAAGGTGATGAAAGTACTCCCCTAATTAAGGTGATGAAAGTACTCCCCTAATTAAGGTGATGAAAGTACTCCCCTAATTAAGGTGATGAAAGTACTCCCCTAATTAAGGTGATGAAAGTACTCCCCAAATTCTAATTTGATTTTAAAAGGTTGCATCTCTTCATTTAAATCAAACTTTGCATGGCATAGCCATTTAGAAACAGGCATGAAAGATGATGAACAGCTATATATAATATGCAACAGCAATTACAGCTGATATATGAACAAGCGTACACACATATGGGGTGACTCGAGTCACCCTTTCAGCTAGTTGATAAATCTGTTTTCGTATTTTTACAACTTTCAACATTTTTTCACCCCAACAGGATGTATATCTTATAGAACAATGCTATCTTTCCATGGTTGGCTCTTAGGAAAAGTGCTGTATTGCATATATCTTATAAGCCACACAGTCCTTGGTCTTCCCTTTTCCATTAAAAAAAGTGATGTACCGATTCCGTGAAATGTGAACAGCAATATGGCAAGAGAATACAGTTTACAATAATATATATCATATGACAGCCCCCATTTTTATGTGATCAAATCGTAGATTGCTTAAACTCATAAACGGACTACACAATAACTTACAAGACTTACTTTTTAAGATTAATTTCTTTCTGTTTTCTCTCTTTCTCCTTGATGTATGCTGTGGGATTGAATTTCCTAGACACTGCAAAAGACATCAAAAGTGTGAAAGAAAGTTTATGTCGTTTTATATAATTGCAGTGAGGCTCTGCCACAAGAAAAAAGGAATCAAAAACAGCTCCAAAGGAACATAAAATAAACATAAGTAAACCCAAAAGTGCATTAAAATATACCCTAAATGCTGCACATCAAAGCCACCTCCAAGATGAAAGTCTCAAAGGACACATGTCACGAGACAATGGCAGGAAGGAAAAAAAAATTTCATCAACTACAAAATATCAACAACAACATCAAAAGATCAAAGTACACTTATTACCTGCTGGGGATGGTGTCCGACTCCTCCCTGACCCTGTAGAGAGACGACTCCGATTTACTGACAGGTTACGATCAAAAGAATTTGAACGAGCCCGAATTCCACTGCCATTATTCAGTGAAGAGTGGGAAATATTTTCTGTTGAATTCGACCTCCGAACAAAAGGCGGTCTCTCGCGGGACATTTGTCGTGTTTTGGTCAGGCGATCACTGGAACCTGATCTGCCAGTAGGCAGCCGGTCATTAGAGAGGGAACGTTGTCTAGAAGCGCTGAGCCTGTCTCCAGAACCAACACGGTCTCTGGAATTCGTTCTTGCCTGTGGTCTGCCCCTGACAAAGAAAAAAAAATGTAACTTGAAAGTCCAGGGAAAAATTATCAAATTATACTGAAACAGTATTTCTGGATAAAGTGTGCAAGACATTTAGACTTTCCCATTGATGAGCATAGATTGTCCCAACAATTACAATTATGCCAGGACCTTTCCATAAAATGAGCACATGCCACATAAACAACCAATCAAGACTACAATTACAGTACTTAATATCATCCACAGTCACAACTACATATTGATTGCCTCTACAATTTTCATGATCTTGAGTGTGTAGTAAACCACGTTATACTCAAGATAAGAGCTGACTTGTTAATGACATACAGCAAGTCAGCCCAAGTCTGGTCACAATTAGAATTAAAAAAAACAAAACAAAACAACAGTAAGACTGGAAAAAAAGTAGAATGAGACTATACTAATGTATCCATCATGCAAAGCATACACTCTAATTTGACCAAACCTGAAAACTCACTCACTGTTCCTAGTCCATTATTTTACCTTTTGTACATTGCTAATTCATTGGTCAAGCTCTTCACTCGCACCCGCAGATTTCTTTCAGCAGCTCGCAGCTCCTCCACCTGGTGAAAAAGTAATGAATTTTTATTACCTGTATTACCTGTCCTGGGCAACAACATCATTGCACACCGGACAGGTCCATAAGTGCTCAGTTCCCCCTAGCACCAAAGCCCGCAAGGTATCCATACTGATTGTTCCGGTGGCTGTCTGATTATGGCGACATCTTTCCTTTCCAGATAATCGTTCCTTTCTTCCTTCTCCCCTCTCTATCCCCATTTCCCGCATCCTAATGATTGCGTGGTGTTCTGCTGTCTCCTTGTCTTCTTCATCCCGCAACTTTTTCTTCAGGGTCTTCAACACTTCTCTTTTGTCAAATTTCACCTCACCATCAACCACGGCAATGAATTTTTATTAACATTGAACTGTTTTCAAAAGTCTATGAGCGAGATGGAGATAGAAAAAACCTGTCTTACACTTTTATCGAGAACATGAAACTTAGGACGGAAAGGTGTTCATTGCTGTCAAACACTATACAGTAGTCTCCGCCTAAGATCCCGGTGCTCGGGACCAAGGAAAATGCGAGACCTTAGGCGAACCAGGATCTTAGCCGAAAGGCCAGGGGGAAGAATCCACAGTAACTCATGGTCAGGTCCAAAATCTGTACAATGATCTTCCCTTACTTTTAAATGAACCGACGTGACTCCTGGGCACCAAAAGTTCTTTCCAGAAGTCAGTTTTTTCTCTTTTTGAGGAGAGGGGGAGGGGGGAGGTGGGGCTTTATTAAAGAGTTTCCCGCCCATGTCATGATGCATCATAAATCGTTCTGTTGTGACCACACCGACCAAATAAAAAAAAAAAATTAAAGGCAGGTCCACTGCCAACAGATGACCACATTACGCAAAGGCGATCAGACAGCCTATGAGTATGGACCCCAGTATGTCTAGGAAGTACGAGTGTAAAACTGAAAGACGAAAGCGATGGTCAGGAAAACGTAAGCTTCCACGAGTTCACAGTTTGATGGAATGCAGTCTTACGCTTGTTTGTAGGCCCTCCCCACCTACTGTGCGATGTAAGATCAGGCAGACGGCTCAGGTGATGGGGGGAAGGCAATGCATCAATGAGTTCACATCTTGGTGCGATCCCGTGTGGGGCAAACATTGTAATCACTTATCAAGATTTACAACAGAGGTGTGATCACTTTCATGAGAGAGGATGATTTGTGACTTCACGGACCGTACAATGAAGGCACATTTTGGCTACTTGGTTGATCAGCTGAGAGCGCCCAGGTTTCTTATTCTTTTTTGTTCTAAAAAGAAAAAACAAACAAACTAAATTATGACCTGGAAAGCGGGATCTTAGCTGAATGTAGCTCCTTCAGTACGGGTCAGAGTGGGATCTTAGGGGTGACTTTTATAGAGTAAAAATTTTGTTTTTCCAAAGCAACCGGATCTTAGGCAAACCGGGACCATACGCGATGGGATCTAAGGCAGAGACTACTGTATTACAAAACAGAAATGCCACAAAAGCAGAAATGTAAGAGTTACCTCCTCCAGCAGATCCCGGTACTCCTGACCTCGTTTGTTCGTAGACCTCTGGTGCCTCGTCTTCTCTTTCATAAGCTGGTCCTCCAGGTTTCGAACCATGGCCTTCAGAGCTCGGATGTCCTTGACAGCACTGCCGCCAGATGTCAGACGGACTTCACGGCGGAAGGCAGCAAACTCTTGTTCCAATTCATGCTTTTCTCTCTCGAGACGACGAAAACTGTGAGGACAAAACACCAAATTGTCCATCAAAACACAAATAAGAGGACTGGTGTCTGAGGAGTAGCGATTAAGTCATAGGCCGTAACATGCAGAAGACCCAGATAATTTTTTTGGAGTATGTCTGTCTTTGTGGTGGGAAGTTGTACCTCTCTCAGCCCTGGTTGATCCTAACATGCAAGGTCTAAGCCTGCCACTTAAATGGCCTAAATTGAGTCGATGTGGGCATAAATACAAATACATTTTTTAAAACCCAAAAAACAAATAAGAGACATACATCACATTTCTATTCAGTCTCTTCTTACACTGATCTAGTTTCATTTTTCTCCTAATTTACCAGACCCATAGACCAGCATTTTTCTCAGCAACCTCCCTCTCACTTAACATTAAAGTCTTTGATTATTGAATACCAGTAATAGATCAGGCTCAGAATTCCTACATAAAATACAGCCAGGAGACTCAGTAGGTAAAGTAGCCTATTTCAAATGACGGTATATATGCCTAAAATGTCATAGTCATTGAATTCAAAATCCATTCTTCTCTACTAATTATAATGAAAAAGTACAGTCAAACTAGCTCAAATGGCCACCTGTCTAAGGCAATCACCTGTACAAATGACCACTTTTCGCTTCCCCTTTGCAAATTTTCTACATTATAATGACACAGTCCAAGACATCCACCTGTCTAAGACATCCACTTTGCTCTCCAACATTGGGTGGCAATATTAGAAAATTTCAACTGCGTTTAGAAATTACCAGCATTTCCAAACCACCAACAATGTCTCAAAATTGGAAAGTGCACAGATGATAAACATGAAAAGTCATACCACGGAACAGGAACCTTAAATACTTTAAGTATTTCCCAAAAACATTTCTGTCCTTATACAGGCTTAAGTAAGAATATGATGCCTGTAAGGTTTCTATCAGTTAAACAAAAATCAGAGCGTTCGTGTCCAAATATAGTTTGACTATGACTTTATTTGGCAGTCGTGTACAAAAGTTGCTGATGTTGCTGTTTTTGTCTCCACATGAAGTCAAGTTATTCACACTTTTAGCATAAAGATATATGAGAGGAGTTATCACTGCCTTTTGGTAAAAAAATTCTACTCGCAATTGTCTTGAGACAAGAATAAGCCACGTACTCTTTTAGAACTTTTTCCATTTTGACTTCACCATTTGGCTGCCGTTGCTTCAAGCACCGAATTTCTGAGCGCAGACTACGAATTTCCTCTTGAAGGGCACGAGGATCCGGCTTACCCACATATGGCAAAGGAAGGGGGTAGTGTATTCTGAGGATAATGATTACAGACATATTGCAATGAATTATAATGAACATTTCTTTACAGGGATGGAAACAGATCAGTCCAAAATTTACGGAACTTTTCGCGGGCTATACAGATTTAGGAAAATACACTTATTCAATTGTAGATTAGTACACACAGTAGAATGACTCACCATTGAAAGGATACTTACGGAAAATGACGGAGCAAATAAAAATTACGGATTTCCCTAAATTTACGGAAAATTTCCATCCCTGTCTTTATTGAAAAAATCAAATGTTGAAGAATCAGTCAAAATGTGACTCAAATTTGTAAACTTTGACCTGTCAAATTCCAGAGCTGAAATGGAATATTGCATTTTCAGAAGAGGTCTAACCTGAACTATCAAATCAAACAGGACAACAGTACTGCTTTTGTCTAAAGTTTAATCAGCCTGAAAGCAGACTCACATCACAAAGTACAGCCCACTCAAAAAAAATTTGTTTTATTATTTTAGTAAGCGTTTTACGGTATTTGCAAACAATCATGTCATATAAGTGTCGAAAATTAGAGGTGTTACAAGAGAGTAATAAGCGCAAACAAATAAGGACAATAATTGTTTGTTAGGAAAGAAGAAGCAAACCACACCAGAGCACCCATCAACCACTCATCTGTAAAAGCAGAAGGGCAAAAAAAAAAAGATGGGTTCAGAGTGTACTGAAATCACATGAACTTCTAAAATCAGACACATTTTTCCCCCCTTGTCAAGCATGATATTTCTACACAGATCTCCCTACAACTATCTGTAAAGTTGTCCATGGCAAGCTTGTAATTGTAATTGTGAATATTTTATGTCCCTATCTGCTCAATCTACCATGCTTTGTTGGGGAGGGACAATTAAACATCTCATTTATTTGAACCATTCATGACATATTTTTTCATTAGATACTAATGTGTTTTATCTTTTCCTATCTTGTTTGACCATTATGAGAGAGAAAGAGAGAGAGAGAGAGAGAGAGAGAGAGAGAGAGAGAGAGAGAGAGAGAGAGTTACACAGAAAGAGAGGAACAGAGAGAAATGGAGATGGGGATGGGGGAATGAACAGACAGATAAAGAGATAGAGAAATATAGAAAGCAGAGAACAGATGGAATGAGAGAACAAGGAAATGAAGATGAAAAACATTATTTATATATCAATTTTTCTCTTTGAAAATATATTTTCACCCTTCTTTCTGTTTTTAAAAAGTGTTACATATACTCTTTTACTCTCCGTCTTAAACTTATTTATCTTACTCTCCTTCTTAAACTTATCTATTATCACCATGAAAGATCTCTTTGATTACAAGATGTGACAGATATTTACTTTATAATATTAAGAGGTGATGGTCACTGTTCAGTGTGGTGTGGAAATTTACACCTAACCTAATGTAGCAACTACAGTGTGTCTGTCAGTTGGTATACAGCATGCTTGCACAATGTGTGGAAAAAACCAAACAGCAGGAAAACCTGTCATCCAGAACTGTTCAATGGCAGGGTTTCATGCCCGGATGATTTCCATACTGGAAATCTGCTTAGCCACATACATAATCTACACGAGAGTAGTTAAATTCTGTCTAAAGTACTCACATCCATGTGTGTTAAATGATTATTTATCATAAGTAATGGGTACAATTTGTTTCTTTAAGCCATGCACTGAAATAATCCACTTTTTTTGTCTCTCTTGTAGCATTCACTTAACTGGGGCGTTAGCAGGTTTTCTTCCCCGTCCATCGATATATTGTTTTACAAAAGTGTGCATCATGCTAGCCAATAAATCCTTTTCCCTCTCTTCCCCAGCCACTGTAACCCATATTCCCCCCCTCCCCTCCCCCCCCCCCCCCCCCCCCCGCCTGGTTTAGACAACAGTGATATTCCTTATTCTTTCTGTTTCTTCTCCATCTCTTTTGTACACCCAATGTTGCATTACAACATTTTTATAACTTTGCTTGACCCCCCCCCCCCCCCCCCAAAAAAGGATGAGCTTATGGGCTATGACAACAAACTGACCCAGCCACCCTGTCAGTGCCCCACCTGTCAAACTCCACTGTGTAGGTTAGGATGAGGTATCTCTTGGAGGTCAGGTGCTGTGACCTGGGAGCTGGAATGCTGGACTTTGCAGAAGTCGAAACGCCACTTTTTTTATGCCTAAGCGTCTCAAGGTCACTGTAGGTTAGCAGGTCAAGGATGACACTGTCACTGGCCTAAACAGGAAAGAGCAGAATTTGTATTTTTATCTTATAAGAATTTGTTCTTTCTTTTGACCGCGCTAAGCCCAGTGCAAGTGCTTGATTCACATTCTTCAACACTACACACACAAGGAACATGTAGTAACTAACCATTACCTTGGTACTGACAGTAAAAAAAGGAGACAGCTTAATCCTCACTGAAAATTAAATTGATGTTAGATTGCTATATCTTATACACATACATCAGTCTAAGAATTACAAATTCCTCTCTGAAATTTTACCTCTCTATAATCTTTAACTACACAGACATTTTTAAATAAAAGTACCAAAAGTATAATTATATATGCCATATCTATTTAAATATTGATGACAAAATAAAGATCAAGAGGTAGTAAAACAATATTACAATGCTTCAGGAAAGCAAATTCACCTTAACTATTCAAGTGCTTAACGTTCAATATTCTGTCCTTCCCTATCCAAATAATTCCACCCAACTAAGTGAAAAAGAGAGGGGGATGGGAGAGTGAAAGACAGTCAGAGGTAGTGAGAAGGGGAGGAAAATGGAGAGGAAGAAAGAGAGAGAGAGGGAGGGAGAGAGAGAGAGAGAGAGAGAGAGAGAGAGAGAGAGAGAGAGAGAGAGAGACAGACAGACAGAGAGAGAGAGAGAGAGAAAGAGAGAAAGAGAAAGAGAGAGAAAGAGAAAGAGAGAGAAAGAGAGGCGGGTGGTACAGAAAAGAATACAGATTTGCTACAACATACCTTAGAAATGGCAGACTCCAACATATTTGCAAAGATATTGAACTGCTTAAAGTTTCCAGTTTTGTGAGTTAAATCTTCAATATCTGAAAAAATAAAAAAATTAAAAGAATGAGTACAGATAAATAAAAACTTTGTAAATGCAGTAAATGCTGCAAGGAGCTTTTTTGAAGATGTAAATGTTCATTTCTTCTACTCTGAGCTGAGAAATTATATAACCATGAAATGATGTGACCACTGAGAAGTACGGGAAAACAGACTCCCATTTGTTTGAGAAATGCATTGACACAGTAAAGGTCATGTAGTGCAAGAAAGAGAAAGAAAGACAGAGATCAGATAGAAACAAAAAAAAAAGAAAAGAAACAGGATCTATCCAGAGCTCCCTCTAACTATCCAAACAGCCTCCTGTGGCATCGCTTATGAAACAATTCTTTAAAAGTACCTTATACAGGAGGCTTGGCCAAGTACAAGAGTCACATTCAATATCTCTGCAACTCCACAAGGAATATGATGCATTTTACCATTACTTTGACAGTGACAAAAATGTGGGTCACCGTTTAGGCCTCACTCAAAATTAAATTGAGGACAGCAAGTAGAAAAAAACAACTTACACTGAGCATCAAATGTTGATCGCCACTGGTCTGCAGAGAGGCGATCTTCCACCTGTACTGTCATGGACTCGTCACCTTTGCACTCCAAACTGACAAAGTAATCAGACCCACGTATGACATATGGGCAGCTGACGTTGATGTCCTGAGAATCTTCCATCGTGAAGACTTCCTTGTGATGAAAAACAGACCCATTAAGCATGATGAGCCATCAAGATCTACTAGTATGTGCGAGAGTGAGTGTTTGTCTTTGATTCTGTTCAGGACTTAATGTCTTACTCTCAATAATAATAAATGGAGTGGTAAGTCCAGTGGTGTAAAGAATGTATAGGATGAAGGGAGAAAAGAACAAAACATTTGTAAAGTAGTTTAGCATAGAAGTAGAGTCACCCACAGTGATTACATGAACATGGAAAACTCAAAATCATGAGTACAATTTGCAAATCCCCATCTCTCATTAATTTTTCATTATCAGTACGCCTAATTCCGAATTATGGATGTGTAAAACACACTTCAATCCCTGACGTGTTTGAGTTATCCTTGGCCCACTGTACGAGCATAGCTTTCCATCAATATACAGGTCAGATCTTTTAGAAGGCAAGTTACATTTAGTTACCTCTCCCAAAGCACTAATTAACTTTACATTGGACCAAAACAGAAAACAATGTACAAAACAAAATACAAGTTTTTACAAGTTTATGTGCTAGTATGTTTAGAGCAAATAAGTCTTTAATGGGAGTAACATGAATGACAAAGAGTGCCAGTCTCTGAGAGAGTGAAAATTGAATGAAAAAGTAAATTATAAAGAGTCCATTTGTGATTGTATATATATATATATATATATATGTGTGTGTGTGTGTGTGTGCGTGTGTGTGTGTGTGTGTGTGTGTGTGTACGTGTGTATGATTGGTCATGTGTGTATGCGTATGTCGTGTATGTGTGTGCATATGTATGTATGTTTGTGCGCGCATGTACGTATGTGTATGTTTGACAACAGGCCCTATCTCGCTCCAACATCCTGCATAAACTAGTGACGTCCGCCCGTACCTTCAGAGACACGCACAATACTTGACCATGTTGTAGGTGACCACTTTATCAATCCCCAACACGCGTTTTTAAACTTCGGTTATCCAGGAACTTTTTTTTTAGGATCCCGAACCGTTTAGATCGGTTTACAAAAAAAAAAAAACAACAACTAAAGAAAATCAATTAAAAAAAACCCCCGCTGCCACCTCCCCCCCAAAAAACAACAACAACAACAACAACACCCCCCCCCCCAAAAAAAAAACCCAGAAAAAAACCAAACAAAACAAACAACAACCAAAAAACCGGCAGCAATAGAAGAAAAAAAAATATTTAAAAAAACCCCGCACAAAAACATGCGCCCCCCCACTCCCCCTCCCCTCCATCCCCACTTTCCCAACCGAAATTACTTGCTGTCCCACTCACACCCCGTGTCTCCATTCTCGGTGTGGACCAATTATGGTTCCATGAGGTCATGCATGAAAAGCACCATTAACTTATTGTAATATGTAAGCATTGGGTGGTGGTGGTTGGGGGGGGGGACAAGCAGCCTGCGTGGAAAAGCCAGAAGAATATCCAACCAGCTGTTAGGTGGGGTACTTTTGTTCTTTTCACCCTTTCATGGATCCTGGAGGGGAGGGAGGAGTAGCTACGGCATTGTGTCGCCTGCAATGATGTCTATTCTACAGCCAGGTAAGTAAGTTAGTAAGTGTGTGTTTACTCTAAGACTTACAGCTAGTATTTCAAAATATAAGATGCTGCACACTTTGTTGTTATTACTGAACAAAAAAGCGCCAGATAGAATTGGGCAGGGTAAAAAAAAAAGAAAAATGAAAAAAAAAAAGAGAATAAGTATGTGTTTAAAAAAAAATCGTGTCATAGATGTTAAATTCTGTGAGGGTCACCACCTTGTTTACATTTGTGGGTATTGACATAGCAGAGCCCCCCCCCCCCTCCTCCATTTACGAGCCCACACCTCTACAGATTTTAAAAGGTTATCTTAGCTTCCATTACGAAGTGAAGATGGAAGCCTTAATTAACCCTATTGTTTCTCAGAAAAAAAGAGTTATTCTAAGAAGCGTAAATTCGGCATTTCCAAATGCTAGCGACACTATTTCCAATTCCAGGAAATCGCCATGATTATCACACCTCTCACGGGGCAGGGTGTAACAATAATATGCGAGTAAAGAGCAAAATCTTGTTGGAGTAACGACCCACAAATTGAGAAATTGTACGGTTAATGGAGGAATTGATCGAGAAGCTTTCTCAACCAAGAGACGGCTCAATCTTGCTTAAAGCAGGGGCCAGAGACAATCGCCTTTTCATTGAGCACAAATGTTTGAATCATTGCTAGGGCTAGGGCGATTTGAAAGAAAAAACTACCCCCCCCCCCCATAAAAAACAAACACAAAAAACAGCAAAAAAACCCAACAAAAACCCGATACACACAAAAACACCTAAAATTAAAAGAAAAAAGCGAAAATCGAAAATGGAGAGAGGCTACTTGTAACCTAAACTAAATTCCTAAATGTGTTTATAATATTCGCTTTGGTACTATCAATATACCTGTATAAAAAAATCCCTGCTTGAAAAATACGATAGAAAAAGAAAATTGTAACTAATACCATGGTCAAATAATATTGGTGCTTGGTTGCTGTTTGTTGGAACAACGTTTCTCCTATGTCGGTTTGAGTTTTAACCAAGATCACGACCATTCTTTTGAAAGCCTAAATTATAACACTTAATGCAAAACCGCGATTTTCAAAAACAGAAAGTGATTCTGCTTTCATACTGTGCAAGTATCACAAATGCTGCTTTGATGCTGTACGCATATACACGTACCAAATTGTACGAAGTCGTAAATGTTTGTTTCGTTCTTTGAAACAAAAGATTTTAGCTCGTCGATTTTTTAAAGGCAAAGACAGTAAATAAGCTAGATACGTCTCTTTTTTGTTTGCTGAGAGCACTTCAATTTGGCGTTTGGTTGAAGTTTTGGTCGTTCAAAAAACGATTTTCGCTAGAAATGTGCTCGTTTACCGATGAATTTGATCTACCAGGCATTTGCCTGCTTTTCTTCGCCTCTTCCTATGAACAACTCACTATCTGCTTCTCAATCAGTTACTCTGTATCTTTATGTCTCTCTCTCTCTCTCTTTCTCTCTCTCTGTCTCTCTCTCTCTCTGTCTCTCTCTCTCTGTCTCTCTCTGTCTCTGTCTTTGTCTCTGCCTCTGTCTCTCTGTCTCTTTCCCC